CCTCCCCTTCCCTCTTCTTTGGCCTCCCTTTCCAAGACGTTCGCGTCTCTGGAAGGGCCACGGCGGGGGCGACCCCTCGAGCTTGGCCTCACGGTGGACCCTGTTGAGCTGCGCGTCTGTCGGGCCCACGGGCTCGCCGCCGCGGCGGAACTCCACCCCGGCGATCGCCTCCGAACCGTCGACGGGAAGCCGATCCAATCGGTTCCGCAGCTCCAGGACCACCTCGCCGACCCGGCACGGAGTAAGGTCTTCATCACACTGGAAACCGCGCGCGGGGATATTGTCATGCGCCGGCTGATGCTTCCCGAGCCACTGGAGCTCCGCAAGGTTGGTGAAGAGGTTCTCGCCACGGGTGGGGATCACCACCGCAGTAGCGCCTCCTTGGCCCCTGCATTGTGCCGCGATGGGGGGAAAGAAAAGGCCTGCGGTAAGAAAAGTTCTCGACAAGGGCCCAGCACGAGCGCCCGAAGCAGCACCGGTCGTGAATCAACCCTCAGTAATCCGAATCGAAGGCTCTTCGGCGTTACCAGCCTGCGCGGTAGCGCGACTCCTGATAACGCTTTGAGTGATGGTAGCCGTCTGAGCTCACGGTCCGGGCCGTGCGCCGATGTGGAGCCACCGAGACCCACATCTCCACACCGGCAGGTGAAAAAGGGGCCAAACTCCTCGATCCTCCGGCAGAAGAGCAGAAGGCCTTTGCTTAGTCGCCCGGTGAAAGGACGTAGTGCCAACGTCAAGTCGGGTGATCGCCATTTGCATAAGGCGCATACCAACCTCCGCACCTTAACGGACCTGAAATTAAGTCCACTAGCTCCTCGATTCTCGCGCCTGCCTTCAACTACGGCGTTAAGTGCAAAATTATACGCTCGTTCTCAGAGCGCCTTCGCGCTACGGGATTGGCTGCCAACAAATCCAGACATCCTCTCCGACCTCCTCCACGGCGCGACCCCCGAAGCGGCGAAGAATCACCAGGACGTGAGGGTGGTCAGTGGCTGAACCATGCCGTAGATTTTTTAATTTTTTTAAATATAAAACCATCTAGTGGTTAGTCACGTAAAAGCGTGACGCTGTAACAGTGCCTGCCTTGTTGATTTTGAGGGGAGTCAAATGTTTGCTATTGACGTGGGTTTTTATTGCATCCCGCTCACTGTGTGCGTATTAGTCTCCTCCTCTTATAAATGATTTGCCAAGATGATAAGGCACACTTATATTTATTGCATCGCTGTATAACTAGATTTGGGGAGGATGACTTTGTCTTGTAGTAAGTGCCCAGCTTTTGCTTGTGTGATTTATGCTTCTCTTTGATCATGATTATACATGACAAGGGGGAGGAAGCAGGCTGCAGTCCCTAAGCAAACAATTTAGGGTGTCATTTAACTTTCTTAGGAAGTGGAATTATATTCCTTTTGATTTTGTATCATTTATACTTGGGGATATTTTATCTTATCAAATGGGCGGGTGTGAGTATATATCTTTGAAATTCGTTTTCTTTTTTGCCTAAATCTTCAATAATCAACCTAGACAATAGATTCCAAAAGGGTAAGACAATAGTTGGAAGCTGGTGGTATTTATACGTTTTTTTCGTGTCCGTTTCTCTCCAAGTAGTGTAGGATTGGCTAGCTATCAGCTTGACTTTAGAATGCTTGGATTTGACATCCATTTATATATGCACATCCTCTTTTTTTATCCATTCACTCTTCTTGGAAAGCTGGAATCTACAGCAATGTTGTAGTTTCCTATCAATTTTCTTTGTTCTTATGGTGTTCCATAAATACGCAATGACATCCAATCCAAGCTAATGACATGTGTGCGTGTGCGTACAGAATTCTCCTTCCGATTCTGAAACAATAGTATAGAAAACTCTAGCAAATTATTGCGTATTTTCATTTCCTCAATCTCTATTTTCTTGGACAGTAAGGGAAGTCTTTCTGGTAGCAAAGCTAGAGCACAATACAGAGGGACGATTAAAAAAGAGAACTGTGGATAAAGCGCTTATAATAAACTAACCCAAATAAGGTTGGCCTTGTTGGGCTTCGATTTCACTCGAAAAGGGACAAACTGAGGTAATTCTAAGATCAAAAGTGTATATATATATATATATATATGCTTACAACTTAAACTAGAAGTATCACAATAAAAGGGACAAGTGAATTTACTATCTGATTTCAGACTTAATACAGTAGTGATACCGAGATGACAGCCATAGGCCAGGAAAATTTAGAAATCCATAAAGTATTCCGCGTCATGCAGACAGTTGGTGAGATGATGAACGACCGGAAGTATCTCGTGCCCTCCGAGCTTATACCGAAAACCTACGATGAATTTGTACAAATGTACGTACAACAGCTCGATGGTGGGGGTAGTGGCGAAAACGCTCCTAAGAGGGTTATCCAGCGCGCACGCATGACGTTGCCATGTGAGCGCCGTCTTGGTGCTAACGGCCAGTGTTTGCGCGCGATCGTGTTCTTTTACCCAAACGATGGCCAATTTACAAAATTCTTACAGGAGGTACTGAACCGCGCGCGGCAAGACGGCTGCGATCGTGTAATCATCATCACCACTACTGCGCCCAACGCAATCATGAAGAAAAGCGTTGATGTGAATAATCGACGGGAAAATTGCATTCATGTTCAGCTTTTTGAGGAAAATGATCTTGCTGTGAACATCACTAAACATGAACTAGTGCCGAAACACACACCATTGGAACCTGAAGAGGTTAAGATGGCGCTGCAGGCCCACGCGCTGGAGCTCCACCAGCTACCTCGCATACTAACAACTGACCCTGTCGCCGCTTACTTTGGTTTGGAGAGAGGGCAAGTCGTGCGTATTGAGCGTAAGAGCATGTCGGCTGGGCTGTACGTCACCTATCGCCAGGTAGTGTGAGGCGTCGTGTTCTTACACGCTTCTTTCGAGCAATTTAAACATGCATCGGAGGGTAAAGGAATAAAACAAAGTTTTCTTTTAGAGTGTCGTCAAAATGGCTAATTATAAATAGCGGGCACTAAAAACAAATCTACAAGTATAAACACAACATATGTATGCATGCTGAGTGATTGCGTATAATTTTCACCCTCTTTACTGCTTTTCTGGGTGCGCATGTGTGTGTATCTGAATGGGCGACAATGAAGGTGATAAGCCAAGGTTTTTTTTCACATCGAACCAAAATTTAAATCAATAAGACAAAATAAGGAGGATTAAATGAGCTCTGTCGAGGAATTAAAAATAGTTCGCTTATTTCGTGCGTACAATACCACTATTCAACTCTGCTTGGACCGTGGATACACTATTCGACATCCATCCATTATCGCCGATGCCGTCCATAGGCCGGAGCTTTTCGACTCCTTGACCGGCCTGGATTATCAGTTTTTTCTCAAGCACTTCGTGCTCACTCCAGAGCAATCGAAGCTACTTCAAGCAAATAAGCATATAACCAATGAAGAGGATGCCGATGAGAATGATTTTGATGGACTGAAAGGGGCTCCGGAGGGATCGTGGACAGCCATGCGGAATGCCATGAGGTTATCTTGCCAACTCCAGACGAGTGGTGCGACAGAAAGTTTAGCATTAGGCCTTGAAGCGGCTCCAGGCACGGCCCCATTGATGCCGAGCAACGAGCGCAATGTAACGCAGCATGAATCTGATAGAACAATGGATCGTAGAAGTCGGGGGGGTAGTTTGATAGTTTTCTTCTCCCACACGCCAGTGTTGACGATACGTGAGGTTCAGGACTACCGCGAGAAGGCGCTCAAGAAGGGCGCTGACGGCATAATCGTAGTTGCGCAAAGCAAGGTTTCGCCGATGGTGCGGCGCGGTGTGCAGGAGCTCTGCGCGCGCTTTGCGCCCGGGACCGCAACCGAGCTCCTGAAAATTCAGGTGTTTGACGAGGAGTCGCTCTGCTTCAACGTGACGCGGCATGAGAACGTGCCGCGTCACGTGGTGCTTTCGAAGGAGGAGGCGCTGAACTTCCTAACCGAACGCAAGTTGAATATCTCGCAGCTGCCCCGCATCTTGGAGAGTGATCCTGTTGTCCAGTATTTTGGTATCTCACGAGGGGATATTGTTAAGATTATCCGTGAAAGCGAGGTGACTGGGCCCTATGCCATGTACCGACAAGTCGTTTGACGTTCTATTTAGAAATGTGGGGACAGATGCAAGTAAAAAACAAATAATTAAGCATACAGGATATAACTGTTGAGGTTGTTCGGCACTGTGTTTTTGCCTACTAAGCACGATTAACTAATAACCTAATCATTGATTTATACATATATTGCAAGTTGGTGGTAGTCCTATATGCATTTTTTTCTTCACAAAGAGAAATGATACGTTGTTTACGTTGCAACCTCCGCGGTTTTATGCCTGCATTATCAACCACTTTACTCAACTTTTCAGAAGAGGAAGTGAAGATGAAAGACGCCATTTTTTTCTTTATCTCTTTCCCTTTTTTTAATCCTTTTGCTCATTGTATGAATAGATCTGAAAGGGATTAATGTACCACCCCGCGAAGGTGCTCTTGGCTCGTGTGTACGGCGCCATCCCTACTACCTCTTTCTTTCCAGGCAATAGTGACAGTCGGCATAATGGTGTACCAGCCGTTGGGAGTGCCCCAGACCCCTTGGATCCACAAAACCGAACGGGGAGCGCGCATGGTACGCACAAGTTACTAAATGGTAATAAAGCCCGTCGAGGAAGCCTCTTTGCGATCGCCAATGATGTGACGCACGACGAAAAGAAGTTGCGGCAACAGCTGAATGAGCTTCTTGCCGACGAGCGGGATCCCTTGCGGTGGGCGCGGCCATTGTCCTCTTCTCGGCAAGTTCCATCATCGGATGGGTTTGTACACCATCCGAAGAGGAGGCTCGTGAACCTCCCGGGTGTGGAACGGGTGCGTGACCTACCGGCCGACCCTATTACACGACTATTTTTTCAGCACCAGGGCGACCATGCGCTGTACTATGGCACCTACGATGCGCCCAGTGCGCAGGACGAGGACCGTGTTCAGATTGAGAAGCGGACACCGTATAAATGGACTTATAACGTGTTTACACCCGTGTATGACTTCTGTCATCGCATTCGCGAGGCCTCGGAGCAGCGGAAGCGTTTTGTGATCGTGCCCTCGACGATTGAGACCCGTGGATGCGCCAAGGTTATGCTGGACCACGGCATCGTCGCGGGGTTTCGAGACTTTCACAACGACCGTGCCTTTGCCGTCGAGCTGAAGTACTTCCAGAACGAGCCCACCATTAACGTGATTGAGCCGTGTAGCTATGACGGCAAGACAGAGTTCGAATGGTCACCAAAGATGATGCGACGACTTATGAATACTCACGGTATCCACAATCGCCTGGTGGTCTATATCTGTCGAACTTCGGATAATAGAATCATCGATCACATTGATGCAGTGAAGGAATGTATTGGTGGTCGTGGCTTGATGATGGTGCATTAAATCTGGTAAGGCAAGAGGAGAGAGTAGGAGGTTGCAACACTGGCAATCTGTAGAAAAAGTTTAATGCACAAAAGGGCGATAATCAGGCAAGACTCGACAGGCCAGGTGTATGCGTTTCTCCACTTTTGACGAAAAATATCTCTCATATTTTCTTTGCTTATTTGACAAGAATGCGAATACAGGGTAGGTAACACAAATTTTATTCGCCCTTGAAAAGGAAGAGAGAATACATTTAACTGAACTCATTACTCACACGATACTTCAAAGTTAGGACGAGGGATAAACGAATAAGTATCTACATGCTTGAATTTATTTATTCGCACACTGCCCCAGCCAGCACCCAGAATGTTGCGCCACAGCCCAGTATTCTTTCGGAGTACATTTTTTTCCCTTTCTACGATACTATTGTCAAGTACTACCCGAAATGTTGGGCCCCAAATAAAGTCACTCTGGCGGGTGTTTCCATGACGCTCACGTCCACGCTGCTGCTCCTGAGCTCCATGCCGCTTGAAACGCAGTTTTCCCCACCCCGGGTAGGTCTTCTGCCGGCGTCTTTGACCTCGGACGATTCATCCTTTTCAAACCACACCCCGCTCTCGATCTCCAATGCACGGCCTTACTTCAGCTCTCTAACCCCAACGTCACAGTTGATTCTCTGCGGGTTTCTGAACCTGCTCTACTGCATCGCCGATAACACAGATGGACGACTGGCGCGACGAGATCAGAAAACGAGTGTGATTGGAGAGTACTTAGACCATGGTTTAGACTGCGTCACCTCCTTGCTGTCCACGTGCTGCGTCTTTTTAGTCTTGGGCTGTTCGCTCAGCAACATGGCTATTTCGGTTTGTCTGATTGCCATCGCAACAGCTCTTTCTCACACCTTAAATTATGAAAAAAATATTTTTATTTTCGGGAACCGAATTCTCTCGGTAGACGAAGCCATGGTATTTTTCGGCTTGAGCATGTGGTTGCCGCTACTTTTTCCAAGCTTAATCAACGAACAGATCTCAAATGGGCTTGCATCGAAGACTTGCTTCGGATTCGATGCTTGTACTTCGGTAGTGTCGAGGCTCAAGTGGATCGAAATGTTGTATATTTTATATAATATAACACAAGTGGAAACGTTTTTCAGTTTGGTACGTAGAAATTGGCAAATGCTCTTTAGAGGTCATACAATTTCGATTGTGTTGAATTCAATTGTTTTCCTCAGCCTGGTGTCGAAGCACTCCGCAGACATAGCAACAGACCCGCGCTCTGCCATCCCGGGCTATGTTTTAGCTCCTTTTAGCTATCCCGCCATTTGGATTATCACTTGTGCGTGTACTAGTAGCATTATTGTACACATTCCAATCGCAGCAAAATGCGCAAGGCTCTCACGCACAAATCTGGTCCCTCTGATAGGGTTATTGTTCGTTTGGATTATCTTTACATACTGTCCTTCCGCTGGGGCAGTTCTTTCCATAGTACTTCATGTACTCCAAGTACTATTAATCCTCCGTTTAATTAAGGCGAGGAGCTATTTGAAAGCTAAATCTAATAAAAATGCACACCCCGGGACTTTGTACACAAAAATCAATGGAAAATGTCATGGGTGATTCGCTCAAATGTGAAAGAAAGATTAACTTGGATATCATCATTTTCCCTTTTAACTATACTTCGTTATCGAAAGATGTGTTTTTTTCTAAGCACTACCATTTAATATGTCGCCTGACATTTTGTTTAATATTTCGGTACGAATAAAGTGTAGATAAACTACCTTCTATATCACTACGAGTTGATGGGCTATGAATAAAATATCAAAGCATCGTTATCAGACCTCTTGTGAACTGCTTCCCTTTACCGCTTTTCAATCCATTATTTCGTTTCGTTTCTTGGCACTTCCATATATATATGGCATGTAGAATTCGTTTGCGTAGAAATACTTACTCCCAAAAACGACATAAAGGTGTTGTTTTTGTATACAAACGAGTAATTGATACTCTAGGTCTATCATTAAATAAGATTCATTAATTTAATCTATTATATATATATATATACAATGGATTTTCAACAAATAAATCGTGCGTTGCACAGTTTATCCACCATAACTCTGGCAACACAGGTACTGTTCCACTATGACAATCCTCTCACGGAACGAGAAGCCGCTCAGCTTGCAGAATTTCAAAGATCCCGTCTCGAGCAGTTGGAAGCCGGACTTATTGTAGGTGAAATCCCTGATGAAATGCAGCAGCTTGCGTCACGTCCTTTGCATGGGGTGCATCCACTTCTGGTTGTTCAGTGTGTGATGGCGGCTTCGCGATTGCCTCACTTACCCAATACCCGGCAGCGTGTGCTCCAAACGAAGCTTTTGCCATATGTGGCCGCCAGAACACCACTGGGTATTGACGAATGGTGTGCAGCATTGCATGCGTCAACTCATTTACCAATCCAGAGCTCGACTGCGAGCTTACAGTGTGTAGAGAAACTCATTTCCCTATCTGCGCCTGTGATTTTCCCGTGCCCAAGCACTCCCGGTGCGAATGATGTGGACTTATCAACGTGTGCGGCGGATGCCGAAGGTGTGAAGGCATCCGGGCAGGGGGTTGTGTCGCATAAGCCAAGCAATATGGCATGCCCGAAGCTGAAGTCTTACACCGTGTCCGAAGCTAAGCTGCTGCTACTAAAGGTACTTCCGATAGTAGCACGGCAGTGCGTCTTATCCAACACTCGACGGGTTCGTCATGTGGACAATGATGACCTAAAAAATTGTATCGAGGAAAAATTTGCTAAAGCGGACCGTCCGCACAGCAAGATAATTAAGCGACTGCGCCGCGTCCTACGAGAGGTAATTTTTGGCTTGGATCATAATGAAGAGGTGTACGATCGCATGCGCGAGGAGACTAATACGTTAATAATGAGCCTCCCTCCTCAAGATGCGGTTGTGATTGCTTTTCTCCTAGGCGATGGCACTGATCAAGAATTGAGGCAGGAAAAAGCCCTGCAGAGGCATGAGGAGGAGGGTGAGGGCAAGAGCTCGAGTCTATATGGCCGCGAAAGACATCCACTTTTCTCACTAGCCGTGTCTAAAGACCAACTGAGCAGCACTATCAAGTCACATCCCGGAATGCTTGCGCTTTTCACAGATACTAAGGCCGGTGCTCGCTACAAGTTGGGTCAGCTTTTCCTTTCAAAACCCGAAGAAATTTTTCAGTTTTGTCTCTACAACATGCGCTTGAACGGATCTACGGTGTTGGCGTTTGAAGATTACGTGTCGGTTCTAGAAAACGCAGCACCATCACACATTCTGGGTGACTGTTTCATTTCAAGAGGCGAGGACTCCATTATGATGCTTTTCACACCTTTCATAAACAATATTAAGATACTAACGGAGGAGGTTGCCTCTAGAGTGAGCCGGAAGTATGTAAATCTCTTCATCCAAGCTGAGTGTCGACCGCGAGAGTGCGAAGAAGCGGATGGGATCAACCGTGCACTCTCATTACGCCAGGGTCTATTGCAAGCCTGTGTAACTATGATATCGAACCGCTGCCGCGCCCCCCCTGAAAAGGCCTCAATCATGCGTCTCGTCGCGGATATATTTCAGGCCCTTCTGTCCGACGGTAGTCAGCCCTCCGTAAACGAGTTGAACACAACAGATCTAGCTGCGGTGTTGGATCGCGAAATGACCATACCTGCAGTGGAGTCCCTTCAACAAGCGATTCGCCTTGTGGTCCTTTTCAGAGTTGAAGGTGCTGTGCAAAATGGCCTGACAGCGGCTCTGAAGACGGCCAAGAGAGATGAAGCTGTGCGACGAACGCTTTTAGTGCATCTTGCGCCAGGACAAATTCCACAGAACATAAAAGATGAGCTTGTTCAGCAGTTACTAAAAGACTGCTCGGAGGCAGAGGTGTTGCGTCCGGACGCATATTTGGCCCTATATTTTGTCTACGAGTCGAACCCTGATGTTGTGGCTCGTCTCTGTCCACTGCTCTCGACCGCAGACGTGCTTAATCAACTCGGTGGCAACATTTACGAGCTACGGCGAATGACAACGGTAGCGATTGCTCTTGCTCGTGTTGGTCATTTCAACCCTTTCGCGATGCTGCTTACCCACCACCGCGGCCAGATCCGGTGTCCACTCATGGATTACATCCATAGCATTGCTAATGACACACGCTCGGTTGCTACCCTCTGGGAACATATCACGCAGACGGTCTTTGGGCTGGACGAGGAAGCTAAGCCAAGGATTTTGTCCTCCACAGCTCACAACGCCGTCCTGCCAGTTGCCTCTGCTCTTCTACGACACGCGGCCAAGATCCCCATCACGACTGTCTTGACAGAAGTACTTCTTTGCTGTGGTCACGACAATGTTCAAGGCGAGGATACATTCTTTTACCTCCCAAGTGACGCCAGCATCAATCGGCATGACAAAAAATACAAGTGCGTCCGCTGTGAGACATTCGAGGGTATTTTCTCAGCCGAACGGGTCACGCTCCTGCAACAGCACGGCAAGGCGATTTGCGCCTCGTTACTTAATAAGATGCTTACGGCACCGGAGTACATGGCTCAGGCTGCCTGCCGCGGGATGGTGCTACTGCTCACCCAGATAAAGTTTAGTTCCTCTGAAGACATCTTTGAGGCCCTGTTGCAGCAGTTGAGGGACTCGTCTGATTACTTCATAGGCCTAAGCGATATGGACGCCGCGATTGCATCGGAATCCTCGAATGAGATGCATCAATTCGAAGATGCTTACCTGCGGTCACAGCAGTTGTTAAAGAGCTACCCAGATCGACCACCAAAGGGTATGACGGAGGACGACTTCTTGTATATGAAGAGAAAGGACGCAATCGCACTCGAGAAGGGGCGCGAGGTCTTTCGTATGGAGATAACGAAACGGACAAAGCACATCTTGGGCACGGTGCGACAGCACAAGCACATTTTTCTCACAGTTCGCCTGATGGGCATCACCAGCAAGTTTGACCAGCTAGCAATTGCCAGCTTCTATCCGTTTCTTCAGCAGACACTCAATCAGGGACCTGAGAAGATACCGGCGATACTGAGTACCTTAGCGTTGGACGCCATCGTGGCGTTGCTTCGTGGCACGCCGCTGCGCTACCTGGTGCGGGGTATGGCCACCATTGTGGCGCGTCTGAGCAAGGAAGAGACGCTTTCGGCGGGCGACGTCGCGCAGGTCTCGACGGTAGCTCATAGCTTGCGTCAGGCCGTAACGCAGATGCTGCCCGCACCGGTCTTTGTCGTTCTTGTGGCCTTTTCGAGGGTTGCGTTCAGGGCGGGGCGTGGGAGCAATGCCATCTCGACCACTATCCCCGTCGCGACGCAGCACCAAATATTGGGTCTACTTCTGCAAAATATCGGCCAAAGTGATCTCCCTATCCCGACTGAGGCGATGGAGCTCCTGAGCATGATCTTACGCTCCTTTCCTTCCCTCTACAAGAGCGTGCAGCAGGGTATTTACACCCTTATGGGAATGATCCCTACATCCCACCTATCAACCATCGAATCGGCGATGTTCAACAGCACAGACGCCGTCCGTGAGGTGACGGCTGCGGCGCTTCATCGTTTTGCGCACTTCGGTTCCTGCCGCCGGGCGCTTGTAATGGCCGCGGTGTTCGTGAAAGACCCGTCTGCTAACGTGTCCAGGTACGTTTCGGCTATCGTTGAGGATAGTCGGTATGGTTGGAGTTTGCAAGCATCCGATTGGAAGGATTTACTTTATTTCCTTGCCACTTACGGGCAACAGCAGTTCAATGCGGGGCGAGTCGCGCTCACCATGAAACTCCTTTTTTCTGATGCGAGCGAGGAGCAGCAGAGTGGATGGATCGATGACATTGTCAGTGTCGGCGGGCTCGCGAGTGTTGTGGCCATGCAACTGCTTTCATCGACCTACCAGGGCGAGGTTTCGGCCAAGGTGATGGATTACCTATGCTCTCTGATTGAACACGTCGGTACGAAAGAATACCTCATGAAGGCGGTCGTCACGGCAGGGCGTGTTGTGCTCAAGGATATGAGCTTAGATACTCTGAAGAAGATTGCTTCAAGCCTCCAGATGCGACTGGCAAAACCACCCAAGGATTCTACTTCCACCCACAAGGAGCAGTACCTAGCGACATCGACGATCTGGCTCACCATCATCAGCTGCCAGCTTCAGGAAGTGAGTCTCCTGGAGTCTATTATTGAGCAGCAAAGCCGTGTGTTGAATAATTCTAATTCGATGATGGTACATCGCTGCGTGTGTGAGTGCATGATTGAGATTACCAAAAACGAGATGGTGCAGAGTTCTGTTAAGGTCGACGAATTTGTTGAGAAATGCATAAAACAAACGATTCATTCAGGTTCGTACATTAAGAAGAAGGCGCACGCATGGGGCCTAGTCGGCATCCTGCATGGGCTTGGTCTGCTTTCACTTCGACGCTACCGCATTATTGAAATTATCCAAACTGCTTTGCACGAGAAGGAAAACGAAAAGTCCGGTGCGATGGTGCTACTGGAGGTGCTCTGTGAGGTGATGGGTACGATTTTTGAGCCGTATTCACTCGCCCTTTCTGAGGGGTTCTTGAATTGTGTGGCGGACCCGGACCCTAAGATATCAGAGTGCGCTGGCGATGCAGCTCGTGTGTTCATGAGCAACCTCTCTGTTATTGGTCTACGACAGCTCATTCCTAAGTTGGTTGAGGGCCTTTCTTCGAAGCAGGCAAAGCAACGTGTGGCACCGCTGAACTTTATCGGTTACGTTGCCTTTTGTTCTCCCAAGCAGCTGGCGGCGGCGCTACCGGAGATCATGAAACCCGTGCTGGCATGCCTTTTTGATGTCAACAGCTTTGTTTCTACCGCAGCTTACAATGCACTGCGTCGTGTGGCCGGGGTCGTGTCGAACCCAGAGATTCAGGAGCACGTGGACCTTATCCTTCGCGCGATGCGATCGCCCAGCACAGACACCGAGAGCGCCTTGGACGCCCTGCTTTATACGCGTTTTGTCAATGCGGTTGACCCTGCATCACTTGCATTGATAATCTTCGTGCTGTATCGTGGTTTGGGCGCACAAATGCCCCACACAAGGCCGAAAGCTGCACAGATCGTTGCTTCTATGGTGAGTCTCGTCAATGACCCCAAGACACTGCTCCCGTATTCGGAGGAGTTAGTGCATCTTCTGGAGGAAGCTGCGATGGATCCGCAGGCGGAGGCGCGCACAACCAGCGCTAAAGCGATTGGCGCGCTTGCGTCTGCTGTTGGTGGACCGCTCGTCGACGAGGTCATGAATTGGTGCTTCGCTACGATGCAGAAGATTCACTCAAGCGCGATCGAGAAGGCTGGTGCTGCGCAGGCCTTTGTGGAGCTGGTCAACGCATGTGGGGACTCACTTCTCGAGTCGTGTTTCGCGACGATTGAGGCCGGCATGACGGATGAGAAGCCGCCTGTTCGTGAGGGGTTCCTGTATATCATGATCTACGCCCCGTCTACCCTGAGCAGCGAAACCTTTCAAACCTTGCTACCACTGGCGTTCCCGTGGGTCCTGGAGGGGCTGTCGCATTTCTCGGACAAGGTGCGCGATGTAGCCCTTGTGGCCGGCGACAGCATTATCTCCTTGTACGGCACGCGAAATCTTAGCCTGGTGTTGGAACCTCTACTGCGGGGCGTCTCCAGCGAGGTCACGACGCTGCGCCAAAGCTCGCTCCTGCTTTCCTCGAAGTTGCTGCTGCATCTTGTCGCGCACATCAAGAAGAAGACGCGCATCCAGGCTGCGCTAGATCAGGCCACAAGCGACCAGGATCGGGAGCAGCTCATGCAAGCCGCTCAGCTCAACCCTGATCAGGGGCCGACACAGCAATCAGGCTCCGCTGCGGGACCGGCGGGTGACGAAAACGGCACCGATGCCGAAGGGAACTCGACGATTCTTACGATGGAAGCTGCCCGAGAAGTCGAAAAACGCGGTGTTTCCATTCTTGGTACTCTTGAATGGATGCTGGGCACCGATTCATTTGTGCGATTGCTCTCGGCGATCTACTGTGGGCGTCACGAGCATAGCGTTAATGTGCGCAATGACACCAACATGGCTTGGCAGGCCTGCGTTGCTAGCATTCGGGCTGCCGTCAACAAGATTTTTGACGGCCTAGTGTGCTTGTTGGTACACCTGGGCTCATCTTGTAACCCGGATTGTGAGGAGGTCGCGGCCAAAACGATCGAGTTCAGCAGTCGAATGCAGGAAACGATTGACAAGTTTGTGGTCTCCTTCTGCGATACTTATAAGGAGGGCTCGCATCGTGCCAAGCTGGGATCACTAAACGGCTTGGCAACCATCGTGCAGTTTGCAGATTCCAAGAGGCTTATGGGCTTAGGCGGTCAAATCATCGGTTGCGTGCTGCCAGGGATGCAGGATAAAGATGAAGCGGTGCAGGAAGCAGCGCGCAGAGTGTTTGCCCGTGTGACGAAGATTGTGGGCCCAAGACTAATTGAGAATGCGGTCGAAGCCCAACTTAGCACTAGCGTGCGCGGCGTCGTGGAGGTGGTGAAGGTGAAACCGAAGATCGCCTTGACCCTCGTGTTTAAATACTTGAACTCGCAACAACAATTCACAGAGACGCACCTCGAGCTGGTTCAGGCCATCATTGAGGTCGAAGAAGCTAGTGAGGAAATCCGAAAGTACTACGATGATGTCAGCCGCTTGCTCTTGGAATTTTTGGTACAGGGTGTCCGCTCTGCTAAGGATGTGATGATTCAGTTTATTGAGATTCTGCCGCGTGAGTTTGAAGGTTTGCCTATCGATTATATTCAAAAGGCATTGCGGGTTCCTCAACGTCGTCATGGTGCTCTGCTTGCGGCGGAGGCCTTTGGTCTAGGGACGCATATTGATAACACAGATGGAATTTCTGCCGTATTGCTTGCTGTAATTGATGCATGCGGCGATGAGGATGAGGAGATTCGTCACGACGCGGTGCGTATGCTACCAAAGATCATCTCTTCTCTTGAGCGGCGCATCATTAATGAGCTAAGTGAGGAGGAGCAGCAGGACGTGACTGCAAGCAAGCGCGCCTCTGGCCGTTACCTGCTTAATTACCTAGAAATATTCTGCAGCACTGTCTCTGCGGTCGCCCGTGCATCTATGTCTGAGACCCATCGAGAATTCTCGGCCCTTGGTGAAGGCGAGCCTCGTCTCTTCGATGTATTAATGTCATTTTACAACCGTGGCCTTGATTATGGCACACCACAGCAGAAAGTGGAAGCGGTTGAAGGGATCCAGGACCTGCTGGCCTTCGCGCCACGTGCTATTAGTGCTGCTGCGGCTAACACTGTTTCTGGGCGTTGCTCAAAGGTTCTTTTCACACGCAACGAAGGTGCCGTGGTGTTGGCGCTGGTGCAGCTATGCTTGCAGCTCATGAGCTACCCAGCCAGCGGGAAGGAGAAGCTTGTGGAAGGGACCATGGCTCTGGCGATGTTCAATGCTGCCCTATGCGACTCGGGTGAAGCCCGCACGCTAACTCTATACGTTGTCATTGAGCTTTTGTCGCGCTCCGAAAAGTATGCGGATTTGATTCTCGGCACCGTCGTCACGAAGAAGTCGGCTGTGGACACGCCGATGCTGCGCACGGTGATGTGCCGTTTTATATCCACTGTTATTCGTTATTCTAACTTCACAAAGGCGTTTCCTCATATCGCCAAGCTCATGGATGTTGTGCGTCCACTATGGGACCACGCTGAAACACCCGCAGTAGCAGCGGCCGCTGGTGTCGCTGTCGGTGCACTCTGCAAGTCCGCCACCATCACAGACGACGTCCTTAGCGATATCAAAGAGATCACGCTGGAGACGACCTCCGCCAAGGGTGTTCAGGCGCTAGCGGGCTTCGCACTCGTGTATTCCCTCATTTCCTGCGCTCCGGATCGCACGGACCAGTCCTTCCTCGATGCCGCCGCGGAGCACCTTTCCATGGCTGCAGGAGGCGTGGGATCTGGAAGCAAGCTCATGACGCTCTGGGTGTTGCGCGCGGCCGGCGCCATTGCCACTACCGGCTCTGTCGCGGAGGACGTCTTCCGGGTTGACGCCTACGTCCCCTTCTTTAGACGGGTATCCCAGAATGACGAGGTCATGATGAGCACGGCGCAGTACTTCCACGATGCGGTGTCCGCGGTTTATCCAGCGAAGGCAGCGTTGCTCGCCGGGATGCATCATGAGCGAAGCCGCCAGTGGAATCGGGTTGGCCAATTTGATGCGGACCTGGATGATGAGCTGGAGGCGGACAGCGTTTACTAGTGAAAAGGAAATATTTTGCTCAATCACAGCAAAAGAAGCTGCAACATAGCCTTCTAGTATAGGTCGGGGGATAAGGGGGTGCAGTGGTTCAATATAAGGTAGAAGGAGCAGCATGTGTGACAGAAAAAGGTTATCGGTTTGAATCGGTTTTCCTTATATTTTATCGTTACAATGGAACGGTCTTTTTTGTATTTCGTTACTTCTCCAAGTGCCCATGAGAGTTTCTGAGAGAAAAAGGGGAAGATAGCTAGGAAGTGTGGTTAAAAGGAGGATAAATTTAAGGCAACTGAAGCCTCTTCCTCACTTAAAAATTTATTTCCATTTAAATTTCTAACCAATGATGGACCTTTAATAAGTAACTTTACTAGATCGCTTATGATCTTAGCGCAACTTTTCCAAATAGTGGAAAGCATCAGTGATGAAGCAGGATAAGCACATAGCCGTAGGTTGACATGGGAAATCTTGTTATGTTTTTGTTTATTCTTTCTTTCTCTTCCTTTTCTGTCGCCAAAATTATGTGTAATCTCAATCTTTATGAGAGTAAAAAAAATACTGGGTGAAAAAAGAGCAAGATAAATACATCCATAAATAGTATTTAGAGTCGTAATGCAAACTGCTTTTCAGCTGGCAGCCGTGCACGGCATGCTTTACACGGGTGGTAATGTTATTTTCTCCCCAGATGACTCAATTTTATATTCTCCCGTGAACAACTACATATCAGCAATTCAGGTCCAGCAAGAAGGGCACCGCTCTTATACATGCAGCAACAGTAACATCCAGTGTTTCAACGTCTCGCCGGATGGTGATCTCATCATCGCCATCGGCCAACGTGGACTTGGATTCTTCTTTAGCGTCTCTTCGGATGTCGCGCTCGATACAATATCCTTCCCTCCTAGCTGTTCTGTCAGCACGGTAAAGTTCAGCCCATGTGGTCGCTACGTTGCGCTTGCTCTTGAGAATACGCTGCAGATATATACAACCCCAGTGAAGCGAGTGGTGAGCTACCACAGTTGCCACCGCATCGAGAATCTGCACTCGGTTCTGTCGCGTCCTATTCTAGGCATCGAGTGGACTCATGATAGCGAGCACCTCCTCCTCAGCGGCGGGGATGCCCGGATGAAAATCGTCCCGCGCCAGGGTAAGCTGCATCTAAAGGGCTTAGCGCTCCAGCAAAATACCTTGATTGGGCATCGCAGCGGGGTGGTGGGCGCGTGGTTTATCGATCGGGAAGGGGAACGACGGGTTGTGAGTGTGTCGAGTGATAACGTCGCGATAACCTGGCGTCGGACGAACGTGACGCGTCGGGAGGTGTTGCGGGATATTGCAACGGCGCAACTGCGCGCCCGCGTCAACGCCGAGGAGGAAAGTGGGTCGGATAGCAGTGACGTTAGTAGCAATCAGGGCGACGAAGAGGGTAAAATCCCTCTCAGTTTTTTGGAGAGGCAGCGGTTGGATCAGCTGAAGCTCGACGGGGTGCGTGTGTCCGTGGCGGATGACAGTGGCCTGCCCGATATCCTTCGGTACAGCTACGAGATTGATAAAAAGTTCATGCTCACTCATAAGGGAAATATCTCTGTGGCCACCTTCCATCAACCACGGGGACTCGTTGCGATTGGCTACAGCAGCGGTATCTTTGCTATTCACTCGACCGAACAGTCGGAAGAGTTCACTCTTGTGCACCTACTCTCGATCTCAGCGCAGTCACTGACCGCGGCGGCATTTTCGCGCAACGGCGCCTTCGTGGCCTTTGGGAGTGCGCATCTTAAGCAGCTCCTGGTGTGGGACTGGAGAGCGGAGTCGTATGTACTCAAGGAGCAGTCTCACTACTACGATATCACTCGCACCGCGATCACGGCGGACAGCAATTATATCCTCTCTGGCGGTGATGATGGCAAAGTGAAGGTTTGGCGAGCCGCCTCAGGCCAGTGCGTGGTGAGTTTTGTCGAACACAGCGCCCCCATCACCGGGATCGTGACGAGCGCGGCCACAAATGCCTTTTTTACCTGCAGCCTTGATGGTACAGCGCGCGGCTTTGATCTCGTGCGCTACCGTTGCTTCCGAACGTTCACGCCACCGCTGACTGAGGTCCAAACCCAGCTTTCTTGTATTGCGGTGGATCCATCCGGCGAGGTCTTGGCCGTCGGGAGCAGCCACAAAAACAAAATCTACCTCTTCTCCATTCAGACAGGACGCGTCATTGACGTTCTGCAGGGCCATGAGGCACCTATCGCTTGTCTGGCATTTCACCCCTCTGGGACGGCGTTGACCTCCGGCTCCCTTGATCATAATTTGGTGTTTTGGGACCTGTTCAGCGGCACCTCTGGTGGTGACCGGCTAAAGGGTGATAACGAGGCGCTAAACATAGGAACTGAGGTTTTGTGCGTGGCCTACAGCATTAGCGGTCGCCACATGGCTGTTCTCACCGCCAAGCAGGAAATCTCCGTCTACGAAACGACTGTCCCGACAGAGCCGGAGCTGATTAAGACCTTCCAGACCTCCTTCGACTCAGCTGGTGGGTGGAAGAAGGAGGTGGGTCCGAAGAGCGCCAACTACAACGCCGGCTTCACCCGCATTGCTTTTTCCCCGGAGGGGGAGAAGATCATTGCTGGGGGTGAATCCAAGTGGTTGGCATTATACCACGCAACTCAGGGCTACGTGCTGAAAAAGTGGCCAATCACCGTAAACCTCGACGTTCATGGTGCAGAGGAGCAGTACCAGTGGCGCAGTATGACTGAAGGAGGTTTTCTTGGCGACATCGATGTCGACGACGACGATGTGCATCTCACACGGCGTAAAATAATGGAGATGCCAGGAAGCCGTAACCGGCACTTTGCGACTGGCAAGCGCAAAACAGAGCTTGTAGCGCGCTGCATGGACGTCTCATTCGCACCAACAGGGACATCTTTTGTAGCTGCGACCACGGATGGCTTGCTTGTCTTTTCCACGTTGATCTCCCGACCACGTTTCCAACCGCTACAACTGCTGAACTCTTCCATTACTACCTCAGAGGTGCGTGCTCAGCTTGAGGGTGGACGGCCTGTGTTGGCGCTGATGGGCGCCCTCATTTTGGGGAATCGTTTACTGGGCATTGAGTGCATGCGTAGGTTGCCACAGGAGGCGATCCCTGTCGCTGTCACGTCGACACCCTCGGCGGCGTTCCCATTACTTGTGCAGTGGGTTAGTGAAGAGGTCGAGATGAGTAAGGAGTTGGAGCACTCCTTGCTCTGGGCGCAGTCTTTGTTACTGCACTCTAACGAGGGGCTCAATACTAAGATGATGGTCAGCTCCTCAACCCAGATTCAGGACCATGGCGTGAAGGTGTTACCGGCATTGAAGACGTTACTGAAGAGCTTAAACCGGCACCGTGAATTGTCTCAGCTCGCACAGGAGAACTATTTCACTCTGAAGTATCTCATGTCTGTTTCGCATGTGAAGCAACAGGATGCTAAGACAGGGTTAGAAAACACTAAAGAGAATGAAGAACCTTCGGGCTAAGCGACCCCATCATGTGGGGAAAGCGACAGCAACAGGAAAAATTGTAGAAGAGTTGTTTTGTATATGTAGCCCGAAGTGCAGAATCGGAAATCTAGTGCACTTTATTTCTTTCTATTGTTTTTGAGGGAGAGATGATACGTTTTGGTTGAGGCAGGTCCCCTGAAGTTAGAGACAAAGCATATATTTACATCTCTATATCGAGGGATACCATTTAAGATGAAGGAAAGGATGCATCCTGAACGATTAATATTAAAGTTTGAGCTAACAGAATGGATAATCAAGTAGATAATCGATTAATTTCTATTAAACATGTATCCACAACGAGGCTTACATTTCTTTCATGAGGATTATCTATAAATAGATATTGTCTGCATATTTTTGCGCTTCTTTTTGGACATTGGACAGTTTTTCTTTGTAGGCTAATTAATTCTCAACTCACACTTTGATTTTATTTTGAAGTGAGGGATAGTACCAATATTTGCCTCTTTTCTCTAGAAAAATCAAAAAGTCAGTATATGTGTGTGGAGGTAATTCTCTTTCCTCCACTATTCAGGTAATCCAGGTAAAATCTTTAGCAGTTCTGTTCCGTTATATTTAGGCTCTCTTTTCCCCTTCAAAGATCTTTTCAGTTAATAAACGTAGAAAACGCCACCACAGAGCGTTCCCTGAAAATTTCCTATTGGACTCTTAGTCCACGTTGAAATAAGGAAGCCGTGGAAATTTAAGAGGATGAGTGCCGCATCTTCGTCCTCAATTACGGGCATGACCGCAGCCATGCTCCCTAACTTAGTTCTCCAACTTCGTGAAGAGTTTATTCTACTGCTTACTACACTTGAGGGCGCGAATACTACCCTTAACCATACGTATTTAGTTGAACTTATCTTCACATTGGTGAACTTTGATGCTTTCCTGCGCCCTGAAGAACGTGATGTGTTTATGCGTGCTTCTGATAAGCTTCTTGGTGACTTAATAAATGAACTCAAGAGGATCAGGGAAATTCGAAAACGCCTGGAAGAGAACAAAGTGTTCCTCACTGAGATCATAAAGCGTTGTGCCTTGTTACACGATATTTGCGAAGAGAAACTGGACAAGAACTATGAGCTGGCGGCAAGTCTACTCCACAATGATAATAAAAGACTCAATAGCGCTAAATCAGATCCGAACGTTAATCCTAGTGGAGTTATTCCCCCGCGTGCTCATATGACAACTCATTCGAGTGATGGCAGTTTTAGCGACATTAAGCAGCGTCCGTGCTCTGCTGCCCAAGCTCATATCTCTCAATACACCACAGCAATCCATCGCAATTTTCCACAAGGCTTACTTCCAACGGCGAATGCGTTTGACAATGCCTCGATGCAGAATAATCTCGTGTACAACATGATGTTCGCAACATACCAGGCCACGAAGGAGAGCTTCCGTGGTAGCGTGGCGCGCCAATTCGCGTCCGGATTGTCGATCGAAAAGAGTAATTTTACGGGAACCGCTCAATCTTGCCCGGATAAGGCCACATCTAATGTTTACACGAATCCAAAGCGCGATGACATCACCGGGTCTACGCTGCCGCGTCAGTATCTTGAGCCTCTGCCGTTTAATCTGGTCTCAAACGCCGCCAATGCTGATCAAATGCATTCTAATTTCAGTGGATATGCTCTTTCTGATGACAGATTCCTAGCTGCTCTGTGTGACTCTTCCTTCTTTGCTGATTTTGGAAAGCTGCAAGGTAAAGGAGGGGATGCATCTCTCACCTTGATGGAATCGTGCGTTTTCTCGATGGGAAACGCTTGGGAGAAGTGTTTGTGGGATTTTTTGAATGGCGTAGCTTTTGTGGATGATTTATTGCTAGTAGATGCACTTCTTTCTATGCACAGCGATCTCCCCTTAGCGTCGGATCGCAATACTCGAGGAAATAACTTAGATGTTTTGACAACACCGCAAAAGTTCCCAGGTGTGCTGATGAATTTCGTTGGCCAACAATCAACATCGCCAATTTCTCCCCATTTGCTTGTGGCAGAGGCGGCGGCAGCAGCTGCGAATACTTCTACCGCGGTATGGGGGAAAACCAACAGCTTTAACGTTACCAACTCTATCCCCAAAGTCTGGAAACCGTCCAGCTCAGAGGCAACCTATGGGCTGCTGTCCGTTCTCGGTGGAGTAGAGCCTGTTCGGTGGGAGTTTTGGGCTGTTATGCAGGCAGTTTTCACAGTCTTGATGGAGGAGCTTTTGGGGAAGAGACCCTCAGATAAGAGCGATGCCTTAGGCACTAAAAACGTCGCTGCCGATGATGGGCATCTGGGTGGGAGGAACGAAAATCTACATCAACCAAGAGAAGGTAAGCATCTCGTAAACAACGCGCGTAGTGAAAGGAAAGACGTTCGCAACTCTCAATATGTTCATTCGTCGGAGATGCTACGCGAGAGGTTGGAATCGAAAGGCTGTTCACCATTTGATCAGGATCTTTCCACTAGTGTCCCTGTGAATGATGAATACGGTACCACAACAGCATCAGTGCATATATCCGGATCTGGAATTGCGCACCAAACCGACCCTATAGGTGGTGTTCATCCGCCTTCCACGGCGGCACTAGGCTTGCTGAAGAATGTTTTCTGTCCTAGCCTCTGCTGCTATGCAGTGGGTGCCCAAAATTTCATGTCCGCAGCGCCGCTTCTGGCAACACGCGCCGCAACGACTGCGTTTGCCTCTACTGTTTCCACAGCTGTTGCATCATCTGCTGAGGTTCCTCCGCGTTTGCAGGCACCAGAAGCTGATACGGTTTTCGAACCAAACCATCCCTCCGAGACCCCTGATGCAATGCCAGGTCCATCCAGCGGACAAGACCAGAACATGTGTGAAAATATCGGCAAGATGGTAACGAGAACGTGTTCACATTCAAGTATGGATTCATTCAATAGTCTTCCCCACCATAGTTACACAAGCTTGACGATACCGGCAAGTCCAACGCTTTCATTAAACCCGGGTTTGTTTACATTTTCGACTGATGCGGGGATACTGACAGAAAATTCGGATGATGATGCTAGTCACAAAAATGTAAACATTCGTCCGGTGGATGTTCTTGTGCATGCATTCATTACCGCTATTCGTTCTCAGCTCGAGCAGTGCACACCAATTTCTCAATGCTCGGATGCCCTTGATGGAGCTTACGAGAAAATCGAGACAACCTCCCCACACAAGGACCAAACCCATCAAGTTATGAAGGAACATGTGCATGAAACTACCCCTACAATGGCACAGGATACGGGCAGCCGTTCTTTGCCTTCTTTGCACATCGGTAGCTGCCACGCTGTGGGTGACCTTAAAGGGCTTGCGGACCGCGATCAAACAACTGGGGCATCCGCAAACTACGTGAAGAGGGGCTGCTCCGCCTCAACGGGGCCCACCGTGTGCGGTCTAGGCTGTGGGTTGCCGTCTTTGCACGGTGCGCAGCGAGAACGAACTCGCAGTGGGATCTCCCTCGTGTCTTCCATGAGCGGCGTCCTGGTCAAACTTCTTGACGACATCAATGCCTCTATTACAACAACACGGTCCATGGAGGATCAACTCGAGGGCGAGGTCACGTTACTCACCTTCAGAGTTGTGAGCACAATCGTGGATTGGCTGATCCCAGCGGTGTATCTTGTGGATATGCGCATATGGCTATTCTATCGAAAGTGGTTATGCGGCTTATATCGATTTCTTCAACAGGAAGGGCTCCTGGAACGATTTTCCTCCATGCTAAATCGTCGTGTTGGCTCGTGTATGGTGAGTCCGGATGAGAACCTAGATGCAAGTTTTGCGGTAAAAGAGACTAATGAACCAGAAATGGAAGGGATTGAGCGGCCTTTAGATGAACATGAGGGGTGTTCAGACTCTCAGGGCAATCCTAACCTGCATCATAAAGCTAACTCAGTTGGTGAAACGACACCCAAACCGTTGACAACATCGGAAAAGGAAGTATTTCAAGATAGTTTGCCAGCTAATGCTTCACATATAAAGTTCAATAGTAAGCATTCTAAACCTAAGAATTACTCTGCTCAGAGTGAGCCCTGCTGCATTGCGAGCGACGGCAATGACTTCAAATCTTTACATAGTGCAAAATTGAAGCGGTCTAAAAAGCAGCGTTCTGCGCAGCAGCAGCCACCACCACCACCACCACAGCCTTCTGAAAAAAAACCGGAAAGATCCAGCAGGAGCATTTCCAACCCCATTAAAACGGATATCTTTTCCCCAGGTTCAACCACACGTCAGTCACACTTGAAAATCAGTAGCAAAGCAGTCTCCACGGCGGAGCGCCCCACTGAGCATGAAGGTCTAGGCACCAGGCCTGCAGTATCACTGAGGGTGACACCTACGCTACATTCTAAGGTACATGAGCAACATCATTTACATAAACCGCATCATCAGCAAGCTCTATCGAGGAAGAAGTCTAGGAATACTGCCGAGACAAGGATCTCAAGACCTTTGTCGAACCTGTTGAAACCCTTGGCAAAGTCTGGCACCAAGGGAAAAGCAAGAGACCCCGTCAATAATGGTGACCCTAGCACCAGTGAGCAGTCCATCGAGTTGTCCGTAGCTCTAACGAGTTCTGTTCATACTGATACGTGGCTTGATAGCAGGGACGCAGTGCAGCTGACCAAAAAATCAACTAACTTTTTCTGGCAGAGTGACCCAACGGCGCTGGTGGTTCCGGGCTGTGGTCTTCTGCTACGACAGCAGATCCAGAGGGGCTACCCATGGGCCTGCTCTAGACAGGTCGAAACTAGTGTGGGACGGAGCAAAGCTGGCCTACCAGAAACAGCCCTAGCCGCAGCGGCCACGGCGGCTCTGCTGGACAAGGGTACTAAGATGCCATTTCCCAGAAATCATATGCTAACCCGTCTTATTGCAGCCATGGTGCGAGGCATGGAAACCGAGGCGGTGCGCTCACTGCTTAATGCCTTCACTGGTCCTGCCCGCGACCCTCCCTCTCGCTTCGCGAAAGATGGGGCTGGTGAAGCCCAGAAGATTGATGATCATGAGAGCCGTGCCACCAAACCCCTCACAAGCAGGGATTACGACACAAGGAGAATTTCAAGCGACACAGACACTGCGAACAGGCCCATTCACTTTCAGCATATGAATTTGGCTACCACGCAGAACTCACTGAGTTTGCCAAATTCACCTGCTTCGCGTCATTTCGATGGGGCTACCGTATTCACCCCACTCGTGGAAGCGTACCCTGGTGTTAATTTTCCCGCAGTCTTCACAGGGCACGAAAAGAGTGGTCCTGTTGGGGAAACATCCGCAGGCATACGAGCACCTCGACCAGCGTTGAATCAGGGTGAGGGTCCTGGGCTGGTACATCATCATCGCTTTCGATACCCCGTTATTTGGGACTACGACGATGTTGTGACCCTCTATATGAATACCCTGCACGATGCCGAGGCTATGTTGTCTCCTCACGATCCCATCCGCGCAGCGCTAGTGGAGAATACTGTTGGGTATATGTGCCTAGAGAGCAAAAACCTTCGGCTGGCGCTGGAAATTTTGGAGCATTACCTGGACGATGTCAGTGAAGAGCGTGTGCAGGAACCTGTCACAAAATTGGTGGCATTAGGGCGAGCCGACGGTACTGTGGCAGTTTCCGCAGGCCCAAAAGGTACTCCCCTTTCAGCGCGACCAACATTAGGTGATCCCAGAACCTCCCCCAAGCCACTGATTAACCAACCTAGCTTAGCCACCAGGAAGCCAATATCTCCTTTGATCGCAGACCCATCGGCGTCCAGGCCTTTCTCATTGACATTCCCTTTTCCTAATAAATTTGAGTCTGACTCTACGACACTGGCAAATTCTGGTCCTACTATGGCAGAAAATTTTGGCCATTTTCCCACACCCGCTCCGTCGACACAACCCAAGCAGCTGCAGGAGGTACCACAGGTGGTGCCATCGTGGGAGACGACCGTTGAGAGAGACCAATTCATATACATCCTGAGCCACCTTCGACGTGCTCATGAAGAGTTACAGCGTCGGGTTGACGTTGTATAAAAACTTAATGGATCTCCCAATGCTGTGTGGCATCATCTGAATTCAACAACTATGGTATTAATGTGAGCGTCTTTCATCAACTGCATTTGCATTTCTTTTCTAGTGGATTTGCGAATGATATTCACACGCTGATAGGATACACAGAGTGACTTCGGACTATTTTGTGTTTAATTGTTGAAGAGGCAAGCCCAAGGGGGCTATCCGGTATCGTTTGGTTGTTTTACTTTCAGTTTTCCTGCTCCATCTTGCCCTTTACCGCTTTTATTTAGTTTTTTTTGGATATTTTATTGCTTTCATTTTTATTGGTGAAAATGCTCTTCTTCTTCATGCTAGCTTGCTTTTCTTATTGGTACTCGGGTAATTTTCAAGCATCAGATCGAAAAGTTCGCTGCATAAATCAAGGAGGGTATAGAAAGAAGAAAGTCGACTTAGTGTATTTAGGCTTTTGTATCATCAACATTGGTGTCTTTTTTCAAGAAAGAACTAAGTATCGAAGTATACACGCGCTGCCACATATACGCGCCCACACGCACATAAACCAAAAAAACAACCGATAGGCTAATTCAACAAAAACAGCCGCACACCACATAACCTATACTCATCGGACTGCTGCTTTTTTCTTCTATCCGTGAGTGTCTCGCATCCCTTTTTGACTATTGGTAAATTTACTCCTAAGAGTGTGTTGGGAGCGTTTATTATTTTATATTCACACAATAGGTAGCAACTTGCTGAAATTTTTTTGTTTTGTTTGAGTTGTGTGGATAGTGAAGAAATCGTTAAACAAATGAATTTACAGGAGAATTCTGCCGAAGACAAGAGAGGGTACAATGGCAGAGTTGTTTCTGAGGGTCAGCCACCCCCAATTTCACCTGATGTACCACAACACCTCAGGAAAGAAAGCCCCGTTCCAGCTGGGCAGAGCTTTCCACAGTCAGTGGCTTTTCTATGGCAGGTATTAAATGATATGGGGCTTGTAGAAACTGCAAAAACACTCCGTGGTGAGCTCAACGAGACTGGATTTAGTAAAGACATGCTATTGAGTCCTTCTACTCCCATAGGCGATAATTCACGTACTGTTGGTCTCGAGAATCTCGGTACCACTGTGGAAATGGATACAACAGTGGATGATCAAGAAATCAAAGTGGAAAAAAGACGGGAAAACTTTCTTCTCCCACAGGATTTACCATCATCGTTATCAGCGGACAGTGAAACAGAGGCGAACTGCACTAATAATTCATGTAAGCACCATCATCCGACGGCGTCGACTTCGACTTCGAATTTTAGCTTCCACTCACTACTTGAGAAGGTTCTGAGGGAGAAGCTGGGTAATGACGGGCGAAAAACGATGAATATCGTGCAAGTACTCAGTTACTACACAGTGGAGCCCCTCACAGGCGCTTTATCATCTTTGCAGCACGTTCGAAAAGGTTCTTCAGGCACTGGTGACGACGTAATGAATTCCATTGGACAGGTTGATCATGTAATTAACGCGCTTAGCGCCCTTTATGATGATCTTACTGCCGTAGCACTTGCCCAAAATGACGTGAGTGGCTTGGATTGTGAGGATTGTGAAGCAAACTCCTTTCCACTGTCATTGCAGCCATCGGTCCTGAAAAGGGTTTTTATTCAGTACTGTAATATCTTGTTGCTACAGCAGAACCTGACAGAGAATATGATTATCAGTGACATCATCTCTCAGTGGACGACATGCAGTGAGGGATTACTTCAAAGGGAAAGTAGCTCACAACCCTCTGACAAAGCTTCAGCACACGATGAGTCTACTTTGTGCAAAAAAAATGGCGATGAAGCAAGGGAGGCTGAAAGGGATCCACATAAGGCTTCATCAAACGACCAGCATACTACCACATCGAATAGAAAACCAAAATCCCGCAAAAAGCGACGATCTTCCTTATCTACCAAGTCCACTACCCTCGAGGAGGAAGTCTACGATGACAAGAAAAATAATTTTCACGACGGGTCAGCACCGGCCTCTTCGCTAAACAGCAACGAAGAGGAAAATAAACACACTACTAAGGACCAGCAAGCATGTTTCCACGTGTCCAACAGTCCCCCCTACACCGTGCAGAGCCTGTTACAGCGGAACGCTTTCCAGTGCGCATGTCATCTCCTCTCCTGCACGCACAGTCTACACATGACTCTTTCAGCGCACCACGCCCACCGCCTAAGGACACAGGCCAAGGATGTCCCTGAAGGTAATCAATATTCAAGTGATGGGCAGGACGGCGACAAGGTGGGCCTCGCATCTTCCCCCCCACACGAAACCCCTGCGATTGAGCTAGTGGAACAGGCTTTGGAGTTAATGAACGCGGCGAACGGGATGTGGAAACGGAGGGCTGAGCTGGTTCTCCGCCGGGTTCTACAGCGCTCATGGCTCTGCTGTAGCGCTGCAGCGACTGCCGTTCCCGTCTCTTTGCATTCACCACATGGTCCCGGTGTCAGTAACGATCGTGTGGAATCGGGAAAAGGACTACCTGTTAGCGACAAGAAAACTACCACTCGGCAGGTGAGTGGGTGGCAGGACGTGTCAAGCAGCATACAGGCCGTTGTGGATGCGTGTCACGTGCCAGTTTTCCAGCGAAATAATGAACTAGATGCTGTAATGTCGAGTAAGCGATCGGAAATATATGTGGGACTGGAAGCGCTGTTTCTGCCGCGGTGCCCATCGTGTGACAAGAAACAGGAAGACCCAGCCATGAGCAAGGCAAACAATGAGAATATGACTGAGGAAGAGGAGAACCGTAGCGATCGGGAGAAAATATCGTTTGTCCGAATATGGAACGTTGCAGATCGTGCTCGGAATATTTTGTGGATGCTTCAATCAGCAGAAGAGCATGTGCGACTCATGCATCTCCCCATGAAGTCGGCCCATTCCCGTGGTCAACGCAACAAGGCCCTTGAGGATGCCATTTCTGTTTGGGAAGGACAGTGGGCTGCACACTGCGCGAGCGTTTTGAAACAAACTCTTCTTGTGCAGTCCGACCACGGTGGTGCTACTGCTAACATCAAGGATGTCAATGAAGATAGAAAGGAGGGTGTCAAGACAAACTCCTGCTTCATGGCTTTTGGACACTTAGAATACCGACGACATCGCTACGAGCGTTTATTCACATCATATTTTCCATCCCTTTCTGCCGCAGTGGGGGAAAAGGTTGCGACCCAAGGTATCTCGGGAAGCCTCCCCGAAGCTGATTTTATAGCCGATGAGGATTTCATCCACAACTATGGTGGAGCAGCATGTCGTTGCATGCCGTATTCATCACCCCTAGGCGAATCCAGGAGGCGTGATATGATGAATAAGGACATTGACAGAAAGACGCTGTGGGATGTCTTTTTGGACGGTGTGTGCGCTCTGACAGATGGCTTTTGTTTAGCAGCGGCCCAGCTGCTGCAGGAAGGCACCACCATTGGCACTGATATCGCCCCTCAGGGTGTTGAAAAATATACGTACACGCGGAGCGAGGAGGTATCCACTCTTGCTGATACAGTGGCGGGGCGGGGCGGCGGCAGCGATGATAGCCTTTTGGCACGGGTGCAACAAGAGAAACGTTCTTGCGTGTACGCCCGGTTGTTTTCAAGCTTCGTGCCTTTTTCAAGGATGTCAAAAGTAGGGCTGCTTCGATCAGAGCACAATCACCCCTTGGAATTGAGCACGATGCAAGGCTGCCCCAGCTGCAGTGAAGGATGGACTCCATCATCACTTCTTTTCGAAGAAAAAGGCAACGATTCAGAGGTTTTTCCTTACGCTGTCGACCTGAGCCTCGCGTGTGAGACTACCTCACATCAATCACATGGTGTGAACTGTAAGGAGGAGTCCAAGCATGGGCAGCCTTATCGAGACGACAGCCCTGATGAATGGGCAACGGGACAGAGTGCTGTGATGGGGCGTGCACTACGCGCTGTTATGTGTTCGTTACGGAGAGGCCACTTAGTAAATGGGATGCACTGGTCACGGCGTGTGCGGCCCCTGAGACATCGCTTGCGGCGCGCCCTTGCACATCAGCATATAGTTCTTAATGCTCAGTTCTCTGAGTTGCCTTTGAGGATGCAGATAAGAGCACTTCAGAACCCTGGAGTACTGGAATCAGCAAAGGCTACGTTGAGTGAAAACACTTTGGGGCTTGGAGTGATTGCTGAAAGTCTCCCGAATGAGGGTGTTGCCAGCGATGCAACCCCCACTCAGATCACGAGTAAACACGAAACAACGGCAGACATGCCCGACATCCTTAAAATATCTGAGGCAGATAACGGTAACTTATCTGTTAGCGGTGAAGCTACACTATTGCCTACTTTAGCAACAACTGCGACTACAGGGACCGACGTTGGCGTGTTGTCTGCTCAAGGGCAAGCACTCTCTGATGCCCACCTCTCAAATGTGTCTCAGGGCCAAGACGAAGAAGCGAGCGTGTATCACGGGCCTAGAAACCAGCAAAATGAGTCTCAGAGCTCAAGATTCACATCTCCAACCTTTGCCGCCATCCGTCGCATCGCACAGGACATTAGTATTACTGTAGAGCGCGCCATCATGACATCTGACGTAATGAGCTGGCGCATCGAGGGGAGAACGGCGCCCTCTGTATCGACATCTTCATCCTCGCCTAACACAGCACAGAATCAAGTAGATGAGAGAAGGGAGGGGCTTTCACTACCACTACCACGAGAGCAAACACCCCTGCATCATGTCGATGACGCAGTCACGAATAACCTAACTACTGCGGAAGAAGAAGACTCCGCCGCCTCCGATGCGAGTTCGTCTGACAACCACTTCAATCGAGTCGGGGATGAGATCGCTGAGGAGGTACAGCAGATCACCGTGACACGCTGCGGCACTCTTGTGGCGTTCGTGACGACGTGTGCCCGTCTAGTCGTCTACGCGCTGCGAGCGCACGCTAAGGAATCAGCCTATAAAGAGGAGCTTCTCGTGGACACGGTCCTACCAGGGACACCCAAGCGTCCCCATTGGTATGAAGCACATAGCGCTATCGTGCAGTTCTCACCCGACGGCCGTTTTGTGCTAGCTGCAGTGCAGTTCATGCCAGGTGGCGTGGCCGAAGGAGAAGAAGAGGGGGAATCCCGCGTCATTCCAGCCTCCACTGGTCAGATTTGCATTTATTCCCTTCACAAGGAAAGAAATGGTGTCGCCACATCCTCGACTACTACGATTCAGCAGGGTTTTATCAGCGCCTCAAGGAAGCCTTTGAGAAGGCTGTTTCAGTTGCCGAATCGCCTCTATGCAACATGGAAGATCCACAGTGCTCCTATTACGACCGCACACTGGGCCGACCCACGATTTTGGGGCGGCGGGTGGACAAGCCCACAACATGTCTTTCTAGACCTAAAGCTCAGCGATCAGAGCGCCAGAGATTCCATCAATCAAGAATCTTCGGTCTCGGGATCCCAAAATAGTACTAGGAATGCTTCGGATGGTCCGGGGACGTACTGTGAATTATTACGGGCGTCATCGGCTGCCTGGTATATCGCCGCGCAAGCTCGTTTGGCATTTTTTCAGTGCTTTTCCACGGCTTTGGATAATCTTATCATACGCTGGCTTCCATGCTCTGGTATGTTGATCCAGCGTATTAGCACAATGCCTGTACAGGATCTTGTTATCTCTCCACTTATGACTGCTCTTTACACAATTGACGATAAAGGGCTCCTCTCTATGTATGATGCTTGGAATGAAGGTGAGGGGCATGAGGCTGAAGATCTGGGAAATTCTTCCTCGATGCCGGTCCCAAACATCAATGCACCGTGTACTATTCTCATAGGTAACCGTGGTTTACCCGCCTCTGCCGCCTCTCTTCAAACACCCAAAGAGAGAACTAACCTCTCGTCTCGGCGACAGGTGAAAGTAGTAGCAGACCAAGAAGTACCGCGTGCATTTTTTTATGGTACTCACATCATACGGTTCGACCGTAGTGACATTACCGCTCGACACTACATCAATCCTGGATATTTGGCCAACACGAACTCTAATAGTATCCCTCCTGTACTAGTGGCAGGTCGAAGCGGCGACAAAGCTCGCAAGTCTGGTGCGGGCGCAATGAATTACCTCTCTCGCTTTCTACGACTTTCTGTGATGGGGGAGTCGAGTTCGGAGAGGAGTGCTGAAGCTGGTAACGATGAAGAAGTCTCTTTATTTTCGCAAGGAATGACTTTTCATCGTTCTGTGCAAATGGGTCGTAGGCTGATACAACGTGTCCTTGCTGAACAAGTCTCAGGCCCGCCACCTAACAGTGTTTTTTTATCTCCTTCGTCTATCCCCACATCGCAGCGAAACACTGATATTGAGAGCATCGATGAGGAGGAAGAATACGGTCACGTTGGTGTTCCAGAGCTCAGCAGCGGCGGATTGCCCTACCCATACTCCCAGTGTGTCGAAAATGAAAAGGGTACTGAGGATGGCCCATCCTTGCATCGAGGTCCTCAAGCCTCGCCCTCCCACCGACGCAGAGAGATCAGTGACATCCCGAATGCTTTTTACAAGAGTGGTAGTCGACTCGTCTTTTCTGAGATCGGGCGTGCCCTGCGCCTATCGGGGAATATTGCACCCACGCGACACAACCCTCAAATTGACAACGATGGGGTGCCTTACCATTTGCTTTCGTTGGCGCTTTCTGGACAGCCCCAGTGGGGTTCATTACAGCACAATAGCAAGCATTGCATTGAGAGTGAGGAAACGACGTATCGTACCCTCATTCGCTTGTGGAGATCAAGGAAGCTGCGAGACGTGAATTTACCTCAAACCACAGGGAAGTCTCATGATCCTCAAGAAGGGTGCGAGGCAGATAGCAAGGGCGGTAATAGCAATAGTGTTATTGACATTGACAAAGTTTTATCTATATCTTACTTCACCGATGATCATAACCGAGGAGATGAGGCACAGGATGATACGCCACTTAGTCCATCGAAACGTTACCATGCCCATGACAACAGTAAGATGAGAGGAGAAAGTGACTACGAGTCGGAAAGATCTCTTGAGTTTGCCACACGCTCTGTGCTCTCCCCAAAGTTGCATTTGGAGCCCAGTGCCCGGAACGGGCGGTATCTTGCCATAATGACCTCCATCGGCCCACATCGTGTTCTAATAGATCGTACCAGACCTCTGGAGCACAGACCTGGTCTCTACGGATGCCTTATTTTCGACACTTATATGAGCTACGTGCTCCGTGTGGTGGCAGTATGCCCGGTGCAGCCTGTTACATCGCTTACTCTAAACGGCACTATCCCTAAACACAGTGATACTAAAAAGGCACCAGTCTTTTCCCTGCAGTGCTCATTAACTGTGATTAACCAGAAACGAGTAGAAAGCCGTGAGTATGACGCATTGGGAATGCATACGCATTGTTGGTATCGCAAAAATGACCCAAACAAACCTGTTGCCCGCAACCCAAAACAAATACTGGCTTCACAGGGCACGGGGGCTGAAGGTGAGAAAGTCATTCTCACTGTAGGGGGTTTGCACAACATACTTTACGTATTTGACGCCCTCTCGGGAGACCGCATCCGTACCGTAACGCTTCGGGAATCGGATTTTGCTCGAATGATTCAGGCTTCAAGGGCGCGCGCGATGAGAGGCGTGACGGCGCAAGACTCGTGTGGAGAAGAACGCAACCGGGATTCAACGTTCTTGCCCTCCCAACACACCGATATAAATAACTGTGATAACCGCAACCGTGGGAGTACTGTCACCATGAAACAAGAGAGGACCGGCGGTTTCCGGTATATGCGCGGTGCCAATTCCAAGGCTAGCATCGAAGATGTACTCTATTCGTTGAGCACCTGGGACAGGTTCGAGGGTCCGGATACGACGGCTTACTTTACTTTTGACAAAGCTGAAAGCAACACAGAAAGAGAACGTCATACCGAAAACGCCACAGCAGTAACCAATTATGAAGGGTTTGACAAAATGTGGTCTCAGATGGCGAACCTCTCCGAGGATGATCAAATCGGGAGCACTAGTGAGGATGAGGATGAGATAGAAGGAAAAGATTCCAATGAGGAAGTGACCAAGGGGAAAGGGAGATTGAGAATGCGTAACAACGGAGCTCAGCACCGTAGGCACCGAAGCCGCCGCCGGCTAGTTGACCAGCTAGTGCAGCGATACGGTTTGCCCCTCGTATTGTATGCTCAAAAATGTCTTATGTCTGTGATTGACTGGCCCTCAGAGATGAGAGGTCACTTGCTAAATGGCAGCCATGGCATTGCTGTCCACAGCCAAAACCGCCTTGGGAATATTTCTCAAAGCGAGGATCGGGCGACGTGCTCAAAAACTCCGCGTCAAAATCCAGACTCGCAGGCTTTGCTTTCTCCTATACGAGGGATGACGGAGGGAAGGATTTTATTGACCACGATGGCTGACTTGTCCCGCCGCTTGCTTATGAATAAAGTATCTCAAAAGTGTACGAACCCTTTGTTTCTGTCGGGCCACATGGATCATTCAGGCAAAAGCTGTTATACTATGTTTCGTGCCAGGACTGCTTGTTTTGATGAACCTTTTAAGTTGGCTGTAGAGCAGCTGATGGAGCTTAGTCATGTAATGCACATAAACGCCTGTGGTGGTAAACTTAATAACAGAAACGCCACATCTTCCCTGCTTGCTGAGATGATGTCTGAGATTTGCAGAAACAACGCTGCCTGCGAAGAGCCACCGCTCCAGAATAGGAGTACTAGCAACTGTGATACACAAGGTAACAGCCAACAGCACCTTCACTACATCATCGATACGAATTCTAACGTCCGAGATCCCGCGCACATTTTCGAGGAGAACATATACAATGTGCACTCTGGAAACAGCAATAGGAAACTTTTACATTGTGGTGTTGTTAACACAGTGGCCACATGGTGTACTGAGGAACATTGTGGAATGGAGTCGAAACGGAGTGCATTTCACATGTTAGCGGGCACGGAGTCAGGACAGCTCCACATTGTTGGAGGCCTTTTGTAAAGTTCTTCGCATAAGTGCCCACATACATCCACACACATATTTATATAAGAGTGCGTTGTTTGAAGTGAGGTTAAAGGATGCTTATTAGTATTTTTATTGTTTTCTAATATAGTATCGATTGGTTTATTATTATTTTTTCTTTACCCGAAGTTCTGTTATGGGTATTATTAATGACGATGGCAGCTTCCAAAGTGACAAACAATAGTTTGAATAGGCACCGAGGAAATAGATAGTCATGGTGCGAGGAATAGGTGAGGGAAAGGAGGACGTGAACTCATTGCTTTGCAAGCGTGAGGTACTTTTTCGTTCTTTCCGTTGGACTCACCTCATTCCTTTTCTATCTCTCTGAATTTCGTTATATTTATAGTCTTGCCTCCTTTTGCTCATGGTCTCACACCGCCATCTTATCATTATTGTACTCCTGAAAAAAAAAACTGCTATACAAAGAATTCAAAATTATATAAATTAGTCTCACTAACCCCTCGTAAAATACAGAATCAATGAATATTTTGGATGTCTATCCTCTTATTTTTTAAGAAGAATGAATCACTCGTTCTTTTCATCGCCCTGAACTTACTACCCATCAGGTAAGTCGTCTCTACGCGAATAGTTTACGTTAGGGGACCCCCTGAAATAAATCATGTTGGTCGAGACATCAAATCTCTCCGAAGAGGTGAGATTGTTTGCTATCTCTCTAATGCTGCTCATGGCTCATCCAACCTTCAAGTCGTCATTGTGGCGTTTCATGACACACGAGGAACGCTTGCGGCTGTATGCATTCCATCAGCAAGCTCGTTATGGTGATGCACCCCAAAAATATGACTCTTCTTTAGAGTCCTGGCTCAGGACGGGAATTTATTTTCCTGTAATGCAAACAAATCAAACTCAAGCAATACGCGAGTCACTTGAAAAAAGCCCTGCTCCACAACCTGAGGTTTCTTCAGCCTCACGCTCTTCGAGTTTCTTAAGCTGGCTGAACGTCAGTGCACGCCTGAGGTACCGGCGTTGGGCCAGCCTGCGAGGTCGAATGACTCAGGCAGTCGCTGTTGAGGCTTTCTGTGCAGAGGTTCTCGCGTTAATGGTTCGTCACAAGGCATTTCCGTTAGTACCCCTGGTGGAGGCAGCCCTGATTCGTGCAAACTACGAGGCCATCTCCGTATCCCAGCAAACCCGCGCTAACGACTCTTCAGTAGGCGGTAAGAATTTTTCTTTTCGTCACCTCTACACCAAAGCGACGCAGCGTCTTGTTCCACGCACCTCAGGGACCCCTTCTTCAGGCCTGTTGCCGCCTATTCTTTTCTGTGTGCACGCCCTCGAGCAGGATCCGGCTGCTATGGCAATGATGTGGCTTTGCCGGGCTCATGGAATCTCGTACGAATTTATGCTTGAACCCTTTTCAAAGCCCAGCACATGGTCCATAAAGGGCTTTTTATCGGGTTTTTTAGCTCGTCAAACCGGTGCAAGTGATTTGTGTCATACTAAGATTATGTTGGACGACTATAAGGATGCGGATAATTTACCGTTTTGCTGTGGCATACGCTTTGGAGCTCACTTTTTCCCGGTGTTTACTCCAGAGGCCGGTTTCCAACTTCTCTTCGATGTGTTCCTGTGCAATATGCCGCATTGGGGTAAACTTTTTGTAATGGATACCCCTCTCCTCGCTTCAGGCAAAGGTGACAGTCCCCACGTTGGACGGGCATCAACGACAAGACCAACAGCATCTTCAGCAGCTAACGATCTTTCTTCTCACACTCCAAACCCAGCCACTTGTTATCCCTTTTTATCCACTTCACAGGCTAACATGCAGGCGCTGACACAAAAGGCTGCAGAGCGCTGTGTCTGGATGGATATGCTTAAACACATCACAACACATCTTCGTGGGCCCATTATGAAGCTCATCATGGATCCTTCTGCTCAGGCGTTCGTCCAAGGCTCGGTGCCTGACAGGTTCAGCTGTACCACACATCTGGCAAGGGAATCAAGTGCAGAACGTGAAACAAACACTTCGTGGACCTACGCCGCAGCTATTCCTTCGTTGAGTGCAGGTAAACCTTCCCGAAAGGAACTTTTGCGGACCACTTCGAAACATTTCCATCGTTTTGAGCGACTCTTTCTTCAAAGTGTTGTGACCCAACACGAGCAGGAGACGGGAGCGGTACCTGAGGCTGTCCTTTCTGACGCACGTGCTGCGATCAACGTTGTGCTGCGTTATTTCAAAAGCAGCAGTAAGAGGCTGCGTCGGTTGGTTAGTATCACGGATGCTTACACCGCATGTTGTGCTTACCTCCTTTGTACAAGCACGTTTACGCAGGATGTGTTTCCCACGTTTCCTCCTCCTTCGCTTACGATGAAGTCAATGGACACGATGGACCCATTATCATATAGAAGTTCGATGACAGGTACTCAGCAGGTTGCTCGTACCGCGCCGTCTCGTGTTACCTTGGGGCTGTCCTGTAGCAGCATCTCCTCTGAGCGGGATCCCAACTTGATCGCTAGGATCCCGTCTGCACCAACTGAAGTGCGCGTTTGCCTGCCAGGTGTTTCGTCGTCTTGCAACGATCTGCTTAATCGGGTCGTTCACGCTGAGGAGAAGGCTGCACAGCACCGCTTGTTGAGCGCACATGCACTCTGCCTCACTTCCATCGGCACTAACCAAGATGGCGGCGAGGTTGATATTGATGCAGGCATAACATTTCCTCAAAGAGGGAAGTTCCCAGGCATTCTGTCATATCATATGACGCGTGTATCTGCGACGGCGGCCGAAGGGATAGAGAGCTTGATTTTTACGCGTTTGAGATCGTGTCACTCTGCTGAGCTTGATCCAAGTGACCCCACGAACAAAGCGCTCAGTCCTTTTATAGTGTTCGCACATATACTTTCACAGTCCTGGAGGATCAGCCAAGAACAGTGTGTGGGTTTTCCGTATCTCATGTTGGATCCTAAACGCCGGATTCCTCTCATGATGGAGTTTATTGAGCAGCAGGCTTCTTCCGACCGAGGAATACGGGAGCAACGCGTCGGTGCCGAGCCAGCCCCAGCGCCACACAAGGGGCTCGAGACGCAGCCACCTGTACCTGGCTCTGAAAGACGGTTTTCCACGCCCGTGAATAATATCGTCGGGGAGCCTAACTCGGGCTGGGGAGCGACGTTACAAAATGCTTGGAGAATGTTGACGCAGATCTCAACCGACAATAATTCGACAGAAGATGGAGGTACGCCATCGACGGAGTGCAATCCCATATATGGAAACAGAAGTATGATGGACTCAAAAATTTAGTGTGTGGAAACGAAATAAACAACAATATAAATGAATATGCATAGTATTAGAAATCTTGAAGTTTTTTTTGCTATAGATCATCGAATCAATAATACCACATGCTGCGTGACCCTTAATATTCTCATCAGCTTTTTATTGGTTTCATATTCTATACGAAGCTTATGTAATCTCTTAATCTTTTCTATTCACACAATCTTTCGGCTCAAACACCAGAACCTATAAAAAAATATCTTATTATTATTATGTTATGTCTATTTTGATCGCTTTCATAGGGTTATTCCTATTCCTTGCGTAGAACTTTCGTCGTTGTTACTGCTTCTGCTGCTGCGGCTGCAAATGCTTTTACACATTCTCTACCTTTAAATTATTTGTAGCTTAGTTCAATATTATTGATAGCATACAGAAATGTTTTATTTAGAACGCTCACCTATTTTACGTGTTGTCAAAGCAAGCGGTGCTGTTGCTGCAGCCCTTCTCGCATATCAGGGCTTTTGCTTATATAGGCGCAACAACATCACCATAAGGATCACGGAGCTGGTGAAGCTTCCACCGCAAGGGCGTATTGGTAGGGATCTTGGCTGCATCGACTTTATTCACAATGACCCTACCATAGAAGTGAAAGGCAGTATCGAAGTTGAAACATATTTGATGAGAAGCTATCGCTTTCTTCTAAAGCTATCTGCTCAGCTAAATGAAACAACTATAGGCGGCAACTCATGCAATTATGGTGGCGGGGGCGATGACAGCGGGTGTAAACGCTCGATTCGGCGACGTGTGCTGTCCTTCGCCACAGCATACAACAACACGAATATTAATACACCGGACAACGTGCCCAGGATGGATAACTTATCAAGTAGCAATAGTCATCTGAGTACCATTAAGCCTCAACATAACAGTCTGACGACAGAGTCTTACCGTAAGGCGAACATACATTCTTTCTCACGCAGTCATCCAAGGCCAAAAGGTCCCATGATTCAGCTAGAGTATGTGAATGAGATGGTAGACCTGAATGAGATGTTGGTGAATGAAAACATATGCTTTACACCTGCGTGTTTGTCTGAGGAGATACTTATAAAATACACAACGATGATTTCAAGCTCATACTTGCTCGACAGTCGACCCGCTCTAAGCTCCGTCGCAAGCGATAGTGTCGAGCCCTTCAATGCTCTAAGTACGTCGCCACCCTGTCTTAGTAATCTTGTCATACAAAACTCTTTTTTGAAACCTGACAAACCTGGATGCCAGTGTATCAGCTTTGATTTAACAGCCCTTCAGCCTCTCCATGAGTTAAGGCTATTGGTACGGTTGCCGAATCGTTACTGCAGACTCGTACGTTCGAATACGGGAGGGATTGGGCGAGTTGTGTTGGCCGAAGGAAGCGCGAAGCCTCACCTCCTGATATGGGAGATCGGAAGTGTGGATGCTCATATTCACAATAATGTCAAAAAAGGTTCAAAAGTAGCAAAGGCACACGAAGATGGAGCGCTCTCACCAGCGATGCTTTCAGCTGTTGGAGGAGACAATGCTCATAGTCTGTCCTCTTTCGCATTTCTATCTGTTCACTTTGAACTCGTTTACCGGCAGCTAGAGGAAAGTGAGTATGGTTATTATGATAGCGAAAGGAGGGAGGATAGCGATAGCAATATTGATTCCGATGATAATGATTTCTTGAGCAGTGGTGCAAGCGGCACGAGTGACGAAGATCCCAACAAGACAGATCTGATGGGACGCCAAATCGATGCCACGGAGGAATATTTCATTAACAAGCGGGGAGTAGAGAATAAAAACAACAAGCAACGCGGCTCTCGCAAGAGCTCTTTTGTGAAAAAAACGCATCCGAGTTGCACCCCAAGTCCGCCAAACCAGAGCGATAAGGCACGCAGACGTCAGGCTCTTGCGCTGAAAAAGAAACGTGAGCGTCAGCTTAGGAGGGCGATGCCCGCGTCATCAGGCCTTGGAGTTCACAAAAACCAGCCGACTCTGGAGGTAACCTACAGCGTAACTGGGCTGGCTTCTGGGGTGAATGTGCGTAGGCTGCAAGTGCTTGATGAGAAGATCAATTGGACGCCGCGTTCAGTGATTGATCGCATGTTGCTTCGTTATATTCTCCCAGACCTGCAGACATTAAAGCTGAATAAGTTTGCACACTATACAACATGGTTTGTCCAGCCTATCATACTTACAGAATGGAATGCGTAAATATGTTCTGAATCTTTAGAAAAATTGCGTTTAAAATTCTCTTTAGTGGTGTAGTGTGCACATATGCCGTCAAACTTAAACTTATTGTGGCGTCAAGCTTTATGTTAAAACATTGTTCAGATAATTCTAAACTTTTTCTTTTTAGTCGTATGTGCTAGGGGTTAGCAACGAGGAGTCATAAGGGCGGCGGAGGGGTTTGTTCGCATTTTCTATGCCACCCGCCCATTTTCCTTTAGAGTATCCAACGGTATCGTGCCTACTTCACTGGGGAAGGGATTTACCCATCTCAGTTTCGTCTTCATCTAATTCTCTTTTTATTTATCGCACGCGTTGATCTGCTTTTAATTCAAGTTTGTGCGCGTGTGGTTGAACTACGCATGATAGGACTTCACATGCGTAGTAAAAGGAAAGGGTAGTCATTGTGGTTTATGTGCCAAATATCAGTTTAAGATAGTATTACTAGTGAAGAGGGCTTTGGGTTGGTATTATCTGAGCTTGCTGCAAGTGGAACTTACTTTGAGCTGCCATTTAAGCAACATCGAATAGATAAGGGCATATGTACAATCGATAGAGGTAGCGCATCAATACATCTTACTCATGCCCCAGACAACACACTCACCCCGCACACGGGCCCCACAATGACCAAGGTGACGTGACAGGGAGGCATAGGAGACCACTGCAGAAGCAGAAGTCGACATCAAGGCGTTGCTGTGAAATTGCTATTATCAGCGTTACCTTCCTCTTTTGAACTCTATCAATACAGCTTTCTCTATGACATTAATAAATCGGGAGCGCAGATGACTAACACTATGGATAGAGTCGAGGAGCCCACTGTCAGGGCATGCGCTGTAGATATCAAGGGTGCTGCTACGACGACGGATGCACTTGAAGACTTACTTTTCCTATTGATTTTAGGGAACAATCCGCATGTCGAGAAAGTTTTCACGTAAAATGCTTTTTATGGGCTGCTTAACCAATTTATTAGCTTCTAGTGCAACGGAAAGGCTATTCAAAGCGGCGTCTATCTTCAACTCTGCTGACTAATGTGTTCACATACGGGATATTTATCGTTTGTTTGTTTATACGGACTCTGTTATGCAAAAGATCTTTACCATGCAAGTGATGGAACGCCGCAATCTCCTGTTGTTACCCTCCGTAGAGAAAATACACTAAGTGTTGTGGCGATTGGGGTCATGTTACTTTTGGTGAACCCTACAACACTTATGGCTTAATACTCAAGTAGGGCCCAATTTGAGGTTCTTGCCATTTGTATGCAGCTTTGGGGTATGAGATTGCGCCACAAGGCAGAGAGTTAGTACGTATCTTTTGGGTTGACTGTACCGCAGTACACAAGGCACCAATTCTTTGTTGCCGCATCATCACGAGCCGAACCTTGCTTTTATCACCAGGCGGATGCTCAAAGCAGCGTGCTATCTCATTGGGGGTAGTGGTGGTGATGTTGGCGTTGTCCTGCATCCGTGTGTATCACCAAGGGTTTGCAAAACAAGTGGAGAATGACAACTGAAAGGTCTATATGCCTTCTAAAATAAGCCTTGCAAGCCTGTTAAGCTGCTCTGCGCAGTAGCAACATCCCTTAGCAAGTGAAGAAATGGTGGTCCTAGGGTTTATGGAAGCTACCCTGTCGTCTTGGAAAATAACCACGGTATTTTTTTTTCCATTCTTATTCGACTTACTTATCTACAAATTCAGATTCAAATATCTTCTGCAGGAATTCAAGCAGCGCTTCACCATTTAGAAATTTCCACAATTGTTCTGCTACTATTTTATCAAACTTGGCACGGCTTTCGGACACAGTCGATGCTTGACATTCAACAATAAGATGGTGTAACGTTACTTCTGTACCTATGTTAGTAGGAAGCGACGAGGGCTGCTCTGGTGCTGGGAAGAGCGAGCGGGGTTTGGTCGAGCGTTGATGAGGAGCGGTCGAGGCAGGGTTTAGTGGGCAGTGTCGGCGATGCTGCGCTTTACTTTTGTGCGATTTGAAGGGGGCATTGCAGTATTCACGAGAGCACTCTGGGAACGGAACGAGAATGGATGGGTGTCTTTTCTTGTGGTGAGTCACGAGGGTCGAGTAATCTCTAAACACTCTCTGACAAGAGGCGCACATCATGACTGCGGTATCATAAACTACGCATTGATTTGTGATTTGAGTCATACCAGCGATGAAGCAATGCGGAAAGACGTAGAGAATCCGAAAAACAGTCCTACATTTAAGATTATCAGAGATTTGTCAATGGCGTGCGCAGCGGGGCCAAGTTCTGTGGATGCAAGAATAGTGAGTCAATGAGTTACCCTTGATCACGTCCAGAATACTGATTTTGTTGCGCTCTTTCGAGATGCACAAGCCCACCCACGGGACTCAAAAGAGAACGACATGTATGCCAGTGTCCCGTATGAAAATCAATGTAAATCCAATTGTTGTGGAGAAAAAAAGGACAATCTTGACACATTGATTGTGATGCCTCCATAAGTAGATGTCTCCAACGACCAGTGCTTTGTAATCCTCTGCATGCGCTGAACTGGTGTGTCCGTCCACACCTTTGATTCGGACGACTTGGGAACAACACAGGTGCCGTCGAAGTTGCATTAAATGGATTTTGAACCGTACCTTCATATATTCCACTTTTCCCTAGGTTATTGTGCAGTCAAACATAATGGGTTTGTGGGACATGTTTAGCGTTGTGCTTCAATCCTCAATCAGGATTCGTGCCATTCATCGAAGCGCCCACGCAGGAATCGACGGTGGAGCTTATCGTAGCCGATTTCCTCAGTTCCTTGCTAGTGCTTGAGGGATGAGCGGCTGAGGAGGAGAGCGGCACACACCTCCATGGAGCCAAACATGAAACTGACGATGGCTCCCCGCTTCTTCATATGGGTATAGAAGCTCCTTTTGCCAAACCTCATGGAAATGTTTGATGGGATACCGAATAAGAGTGAATGGGGGAGATGCATTGGTAGCAAAAGGCTACGGTGAATCAAGTCTACGGTCGATGAGTGATGATATTTCAGGTGATTTTTTACCGCAGCAGATTCGCGTTCTCTCAGCTCTCTGTGGTGATGGTGCGCATTATATGCATGCCTCGATGTATTGAGGACCTACAATATGCTATGCTAACTTTGTGTCCAGAATGAGCCCTACCCGTGATCTCGCGACCCGCCTCATTGTCTGTGTATTCAATGAAAAACTCTTGATATTAACCCATTCTAATCTCTACTGCTCTGCCACCTTTCGTGGCACTAGCATCTCCGAGATCTTTATGCCTGATATTCAAGAGTTGAGGTTTCGAATTACTGATTTATGTAACCGCAGTGGATCCAGTTACACTCTATGAAGTCAAGCATGGGGTGGTAGACCTTGTACAAGAATTCCAATCAGGTACTGTCGCCACGACGCCATATAAGATTAGCTTGAAGGGGGTTGATTCAGGATAGCAATGCGGCATTCAAGGAGCCTTGGTAGGCGAGCAGACCACTGAGAAGGAAATTTGGGTTGCTTGCGGGACATCGTTCTAAAGGTTCATCAGAAGTGCAACTTTAGCTACATTAAGCTCCCGTGCAGGCAGACTGATTCAAGACAGACGCGTGAAAACTCTGCTGAGATACCTAAACATCTTCAAGGATCTTGAAATATCCCAAACTCAGAAGGCTTTAGATGCAAATAAATGGACATGTGAAGTTTTGTATGAAGGAAGCAGGAACATCAGAACAAGTGTTAGCACGTCACAAGAAAAAGGAACTGGAAAGACTAGAAATGTTGCTTAAAAGTATGGGATCTGCTTCCCCTTTGCTGTGGTGAGCTTGGATCGTATACTAACAAGCAACAACGTATTCTGCTTACAACACGCACTGGCACATGTACATGGGTACGACACTGTTTACATACGTCTGCTTCCTCAAGTTGCGTCATTGGCACTCGAGAGAATTTCTTACTTTACACTGTTTATTGACTATAATAGGACCCTCTTTCATCGAATTGTAGAAACGGTCATTATCCAGAGAGGATGTCCTAAGGGGCCTGAGACCATCGAGGGGAGTGTCTTGTAAGGGGGCAAGCCCTTTCCGAATGAAAACGTGATAATTTTTATCCTCGTTTTACATACACGAATCTTTATATGGTTATGTATATCCAACTCAGGAGAGGGTACAAGTGAATTGCAGTTTCTTTTTTAGTGCCAGACGTGCCTGAAATCTCTTCTCTGGACGGTTGTCATCCGATATTTGGATTCGTTGTTGGAGGAACGGAACACATTGTTCTGATTGGTCAAGCACCTCTCAACGAAGGAAACGGTGGGCCATTCGTGTATATTGTTATCAAAGATGTATGCGTGTTTCAAAGATCGACAGAACGAGGTGTGCATATAACATCGTGGGCTAAAGCCTTTTATTCCGAAAAGGGCAATTTTAACCATTCTTTGCATAATATTAGTGGTACCTGAAGTGTTTGAATGTACTCTACGAGGCTTATTTATTGTCGCTCATAGCGTGTGTTTACTCATGAAGTTTTGATCTATAGCGTATATATGAATTTTATTAATTAAGGGTTTAACCCTCATTGCTTGTTTTCATATTTAGTCTCCATATTTTAGAATAGTATTACTTGTGTAGCAGTATCACATATTTCAGTATTAATCGAAAAGATCATCGATATCGGGACGTGCACTTCGTACTTCGTCTGTGATCTATAAATTAGTTTTCGTTTGGTAAAAGGCACTACTGATTGTGCTTATCTTGACGCAAAATTAGATAAAATCGGGCATGTTTCGGCAAGATGAGTTAGTTTGGTTTGTCATGTTCCCTTTTCTTAGCGCGATTATTTTTTGGTTTTCTATTTATTTTGCTCTACTCAGGCGAGTCATCAGCGGTCGTCATCGCCGTGACAGTGCCTGGCGCGCCATTGAATGGCTTGTAAAACTCACGCCCGCCAGTCCTAGGAATGTATTTTCCTCTGTGAATCAAAAAAGCATAAAAACAAAGGACATTTCTTTTCAACAAGCCAATAGTTATCCTTTGCTTCGTCATGATGGGTTTGAACTACCAAGTGCTGGCAATGATATATCACAACCACAGCGAGAGCCAAGCTCTTTCCGTTCCAAAATATCAACAAAAATGAAGAAAGTTGAAATTCCAACTTCACTTCGAATTGCCACCCGGGCAGTGGTCCGGCGTGCTGTCGTCGTTGTTGGTGGCGATCTTGCGCGATCACCACGCATGCAATACCATGCTTCCAGTCTCGCCCAAAGTGGACTCTTTGATGAGATCGTGTTACTAGGTTTGGACTGTGGGAATCAACTCAGTGAAAAGTTGCTCATGTGTGAGCAGGCTACACCAAGTCTCTTTCCTGCTAGCGATGACCCGGATGAGATTTCCCGGGCGATGCAAAGACATCTACAACCCTATCCTACTGGTGGTGTAGGTGATGATGCTGGGAGTTCACTTACTACCGCACAGAAAGGTCTGGGTGGTGATCATGACGCATGGAAGAGTGCGGAATATCAACAAGGGGGCAGTTTCAAGCCTCGTAAGTGGGGTTGCCTTGTATCAAGCCACTACCTCATCGCACCTCCCTGTCCTCCAGAATTTTTCCAGTTTATTTTCCCCCTACGAAGCCTCCATTGGACGGCCTGTACTCTTTACCGTGTTATCGTCTTGACGGTGAAATATCTCTCCTCGCTTGTCCGCTCGACCGCAATTCAGGTAAACGCACATGGGCAGTTGGTTGTGACAAATGTCATCTTCATCCAAACCCCACCTGCAATTCCTTTCGTGCCGCTCATCAAGTACGTCGTGCGTCCCATTGTGGTCGCATACAACTTTCTTTTGTACTATTGTTTAATCGTGCCGGCGTCTTGGGCGAACCCCGCTGCGCTAAGGGAAATTCGCGCGCACAGCCGACTTGGTACACGCCTTCACACGTTTTGGCCCACCCTTGTGGTGGACTGGCACAACTACGGTTATACCATCCTCGAGTCCATGCACCGACCACGTGTGGCCTGCGCGGTGTATAAATGGTTGGAACTGCAACTCTGCGTTGGAGACGTGAATGTGACTGTGAGTCAGGCCATGAAGCGGTCGCTTCTGAGCCAATTCTTCCGCAACTCGTCAGAAAAAGTGCATTTTAAAAATGAAATAGGTGATAAGGGCGCAGCGAAGAGTGTTGTCCCCCAAGGCCGTACTGAAGGCGATCTTAGAAATCAAAGCTATCATCGGTCACCCTCATCCTTGGTGGAGGGAAACGTTGTAGTTCTATATGACGTGGCCCCAAGTTTCTTCGCGCCTTCGAACCGTCGTATCTTTGTAGAAGAGGTGTTGCTTGCAACAGTCAACCAACAGACTTGTTCAGCGCCACAGATTCGTAATAGCTCGGAAAAATGTGCAAACCCATGCATGTCAGATACATCTTCTTTCCCACGAGATCCTTCGCAACTAAGCTGCGCTAGGGAGAGAGTCCCAGCAGAGCATCAAGAAGTCAACCCAGGAATTTGGGACCTAAACAAGGATGTATGGGGCATCGCGCCACCGCCAGAATGGGTAGTACAGAGTGCTTTTTTGCCTAATTGCAACGATGACACCCCCTTACATGGAAGCCCGAATGACAATGTCATTGGTTGTCCCTCCCACTCATCCTGTGCCACGTCCCTCCCACACCATTTTCTAGAGCCTTCGGTGAAAGCACGTCAACAAAGAGGTATCATTATGATTGGATCCACAAGCTGGACAGAAGATGATGACTATACAATACTGATTGAAGCACTTCAGCGACTTGATCATCGTCTGCGTCATGTATGTAAGTATATTGATTCTACGGTAGAGCATCATGAGGGTTCCGTTGGTAGTTCATCCTGGCGAAATACACCGGTCGTCACACCGATGGAAGGGAGCACGCTAAGATTTCCCTCGGGTATGGCAGAGGATTTGAATACTCAGACAGAAAGACAAAAACAGACTTTCGGGCGTAGTTCTACAGCTAATTCTAACTCAGAAGATATATCATGCTTACCTCATCCGTTTTCTCAAATATGGGTTCTCATTACTGGGAAGGGCCCGGCAAGGGGTCGATTTGAGGAGGCCGTGCGGGCTGCACGCCTTTCGAAACACATTACCGTATCTACGTTGTATTTTCAATCCTACAAACACTATAGCATTGCACTTGGAGCCGCAGACGTTGGTCTCTGTCTTCACTTTTCCTCCAGCGGGCTTGACTTGCCCATGAAGGGGGTTGACATGCTTGGCTGCGGGCTTCCTGTGGTGGCGTTAGCATACCCTGCTATTGGTGAGCTCATGGGGGAAGTCGCCGTACCTGCAGACACTTCTTTAGCTGAGCATCGGATACCCACACCAAATGCTAAATACAGCCGAGTCGCAGATATCGAGAAAGGAGGTGGTGATGGGTGTGGATTGGTGGAGTGCGAACGAGGTTGGATATTTTCTTCGGCTGCCGATTTGGAGGTGCTGTTGAGTTTCTTTGTTGGTATGGACAAGCTCCAGTATGACGTGTCTTCGGAAATAAAGACGGCGATGACTGCCGTTATGAACATTCGGAGTTTGGAAACGAAAACAGCCAAACTAACCCCGCTTGTTGAAATGCAGAAGCGTGTCCGTGCAGCGGCTGTACATCGTTCAACATGGGAAGACAATTGGAATCAAACTCTTGGACCTATTTTAAGCCGATTTATTTAGTAAGCTATGAAAACTACTACAAATGAGATACAAAAAGGGAATGTTCAAATCAATGTAAAAAATATTGGTTTAAGCGAAACTTAATCGTAGGTAAGATAGATTTTGAAAATCAACTATAGTTTAATTTTCTTCTGAAGCTTCTCTTCGTCCTAAAATTCTGCTCAAAATTGAGTGTCTTTAAATAAGTGATGAATGAATATTACTCTATTGGCATTCCCTATCAGAAAAAAAATTTGTGACACCTTTCTCTGCCTCATTTAATTCTTGTTTAGTATAGATGACATCGATTTCACGATTGATTATATACATATGTATACATTTATATACTAATGGATAAACACTACCTGCGGAAATGGGCATGTTACTGTTCGTTTACAGGATGTCTTAGGGAGCAAGTCTTTTCCTGCCATGGATGTATCCCTTCTCATGTTCGCATGGTTGTCATTCCATTACATGCCACGCAAGTCTTTTTGTGCACATCTGTTCGGCTGCAGCTTTCTCATAGACTGCCTGAAAGTTTTGGTAGTCGACCGATAAGTCGGAATCATCACCATCAGCGAAGTAAAGAGGCCGGCCGACAAGCAGCTTTGAGGTCGCCGCTGTACTATCCCTGTACGCCAAATAAAGGTGTTGAAAAGTGCACCAGTACCTCGAGGGCGCAAGGCAAAGGACATATACCCAGAATGGATGGCTTTCGTTCGTCTTTTAATCATCGAGAAAAGGCAGACAGCCATGAGCAGGATGACTTTGTACACCACAAAAGACTTTGTGATTTAGTGCAAAAGCCTTTTCCTCAAACTCTTCCTGTAGGCTCCTCTGTTATGCCAGATTCATTTCTTGCCTATCGCACGCTCCTGCGCAAGGGCTGTGTAACACATATTATGGAGCTGATTACTTCACCATACGCCCCAGGTCCACTTCAGGTGATTCATGACGTACTTAATGAAATATCGGCCTTAAAGGAGGAGCTGCGACATACATTACAGCGATCCATCACGAGCCTTTCCGAAGACAGTGGTATTGGGAGCGACAACTCAACATTTGAAATGAAATGCAGGGAAAGATCTAAATTTTATGAAGATCTAAAATGTTCGGAAAAAGCAGTCAACGTAGTTGAAAATGAGGCATCTCTCTCCATTCGACGTGATGCCCCTTATCATGGAGAAGAGAATGCCTTTGTACAGGATGAGTTGGCAGAACGTGCTGTTTCTCTTGAACGGCTGGAAAGTGCTATGAGTCGTTCAGTGGATTTGCGTATTGTTTTACAGAGGGTCGGATTTAGTGTCCGGGATGTGGTACAGGCCCATGATACCATCGGCGACCGTGAGAGTGACCTTGATCTTCAGAAGACAATTCAAGAGGTTGAGCGTTTTGCTAGCCGCATACTGGACAACGACGAGCAAAATGATGAAATGCTGCCTTCCATGATTCTTCGAGCCAGGAATTGTGTTGAGGTTCAGCACTCGCCAAATTCGTTTTCTGGAGGGTTGTTGTTGACTACAGGGGTGCAAGGACGCCGCTACACATCGTATGACATTGCCTTTCTCCTGTCATGGAGGCTACCAATAAATGTTTATGCGGAGCTCCTACACGGTATCCTCGAGCTGAGTTCCTACCTTGGCACTCACCTCGTCGCAGTGAGAGCTTTAGAAAAACTTGTTGATCTCAGCACCAGGGTGGCTTTCCGTGAGGAGCGAAAGAAGCTTAATGATGATAGCAGTACAGACAATGCAATTCATGACATAGATCCTCTTGGAAGTATCAAAAAAGTGGAGGCTTTAGCGCCTCGCGGGACTCTAAATGCGGCAATGGATATTTCTAAAGAGGATGAATTCAGCATTGACGACGTTGTCGCGGTGGTTGATGCCGAGCTGCAGGCGGAATTCGTGGGCGTCGTCGCTCAGGACCATATCTGTGCTATCTCGAGTTGCCAGCGCGTGAAGGATTTCAAAACTGCGTACAGTCTCTACCGCCGACTTTCGCAGCATGGGCAGGGGTGGAAAGGTGAGATCAGTGGCCCATCTTCCTCCTCTTCGCTAAGGCAGGGGTTCCTGCTCACGATAGATGAGCTCTCACAGGCATTTACTGCACTTGCACATTGCACACACAGTGCTTCCCACTTTGAGGAGCTTCGAACCCTGCTGACGGAAGATGAAGCGTCGAGGTCGATTCCTGTTTCTGTCCCCTTATACACAGCGCTCATCTATGCTGTCAGCAGAGCGACAGAAGTTCCTGATCGAATGTCAATCGCTCTTGCTTTCTATCGCCGGCTTCGGGACGGACTTTTGGTTCCTTCTGTCGACACATACGCGGCGCTTATGGCCTGCTGCGCTTCTACGCGGGAACCGACACACGCCTTCGCATTTTACCACGAAGCTCGACAGATATACGGCGTGGAGCATTTTTCCCCTAAGCTGTATACTAACCTCCTCCTATCCTATTCCAACGCCGGGTTTGGTGCTGACGCGCGACGTACACTGGATGTGCTGGTGGAGGCGGGGGCTCCCCTCACCTGTTCAGCCTTTCACGCGGTTTTAAGTGGTGCTGTGACGCTGCGGGAGGCTGAGGAGGTTGTTGAAATGATGGTGAATCAGTACCACATCTTGCCTACGCCACATACGTACGCTTTCCTTGTTCATGCGGCGATGAAACATCCTGCAGGGGTGCAAACCGCACTTAAGCTTTTTGATCTTCACGAGGAAGCCACTGCGTCATTACTGAGGCTTACACCAGACGGTGCTTCCGAATCGCTTCGTTCAGCATCCAACACGCATACTTCGTCGTCCAGGCATGTGGCTGTAAGTTCTGAGCCGGAGGCTGTGACATTGGAAGAACGACTGCTTCAGGACTACCCGTTGTATGTGCGTTCCCTTGAGCACGCCTTGATGCGGCTGAGGCTGGATCTCCATCAGGATTCGCGTCTGCTGCGCTACCTTAAGCCTCTCATGCGTATCGCCCAGCGGCGTATGAATGCTTTCACAGAGATGGCACCCCAGGCACCGACCTTCATTCCAGCAGGTGCGTGCCCCTGTGTTGCAGTGCTCGCCCCAGACGTGCTTGCTAACATTGATGAGTTGGTGATGCCTTTTATTTCCCACTACTCAGTAATAGTCATCCCATACTCTGCCCTGCTTGCATTGCAGGTGGGTCAAGGGAGGCGCGTTGAGGGGACGATACCAAAGGGTTATAAGGGGGACCCAAACGGTGTGGTCTTGCAAGGCTCTGCAACAGAGCACAACGCTATGGTTGAGTGCCGTCGGAAGCGTTTGCTTAAGTTCCTTAAAGATTATCAGGAAGTGATACACCTTGTTTCATTGGAGGAAGAGTTAATGTGGAGTCGGGACGTTCGTCGGTATGGTATCTTAAACACGAAAGACCTACAATCAAAGAGTGCGGCCTTCGCCCTTAACCTGTCCCGCAGCGACATTCCTCACTGTATGAAGCTCTACGCAAATAACGAAATGCTATCCATCATTCTTGTATCCACCAACTACACTCACTGCGGACGCTATGTCGTGGATCTGAAGAGGGGGTACCTATCACCGAAGTCTCCTCTTTGTCCTCATTCAGGGTTTGAAGGGCTGTGTACTGGACTGAGGAAAGTATTTTATCATAACCCTCGCACGCAACCCAACTGGACTCCACCAACCTTGTCGATTAAGGCAACCACCATGAAAAGGAACACACCGAGTGCAGGCAGCGGCGTAGGGCTGAAGGAGGGCTCTGGGATTTTAAAGCTATATAAGGACAGCATGATAGAGCCCGACGTCAATTCAGCTAACTTGGTTTACGATCTCTATTGCAATCATCTTCGCCAATACGAGAACGCTTCGTATCCCTCCGAGGGCAATAAGATAGAGAATATTAAACTGAGTAGTCAATATACAAGAGGCAATCTTGTGGACAGGGAAAATATCTTAACGTTAAAGTCCAGGAATGCTGACAAGCCACACGTCGTTGCAGAGCCTGATCAGGCAGACAAAATGATTGACGCGGAGATTCTCATGGAAATGATGAATCACTGAATAAAGGTAAATTTTCCAATAATATTTGATGAGAAAAACTCTTCATGTTTGTGTCTGTGAGGAGACGCATTAGGCTGAAACAACGCGCTACGGGTGGAGCCCGCACCGTGTCTATCTGTGGGAGAGAATGTCACGTAGTATCTCCTCAGTTTAGCCCTATGGCGGTAGCTTCCCTTTATCATCCATGCATTTTGGCTGTTGTTATGTTTAGGATTTCAATCTAGTCTTAATACATATATATATATATATATATATACATTTACGCCACACCCTTTGATCACACTATTGAAAGTGTATCTTCTGCTCTCTGAGTTCGTGTGATTATAATAATTATTAGTGTGGATAACATCAATGCTAATGGTGCTTGCTTACGCTTTCTTTTCCCTTTTTCGTCTCTGTCTGATAAATCTGAAAAGGAAAGAAGAAAGAACCGTTTAAACAGCGTTCCCATATATTTTCAGGAGGAACCTTCATAATAAAAGCGAAATAAAACACGATAAAGGTTCAAATTAATCCATGTCGCTTCAGAGGTACAGTCTTTCGTGGACGGATAAGGTTATCCGTCAAACTGAGGCCCACCTCCAAGACATTCACTCTGCCATTCATCAGTATTATAAACGGGAGGGCTATCCCACGCGTGTTCCTCAGCATCATCCAGCGACCTCAAAATTAGATGGCACGGTACCAAACGAACAAGCCGAGGTGGAAAGCTCGTATGAGACGTTGCAGGCCGCTGACAGTGGAAACGCCTCCACATCACAGTCCTTAGCGGATGTGGTGAGTCTCGCTGGCAGTTTTCCGTTGCGAACCAGCTCGTATCACACGCCCTTTTCGGAACTGAATGCGACGAGCGGAAGTGTGGGCGCTGATCTCGTCGTTACGATGCCGGCGTCGAAGTGCAGTCAGGCAGATCTCCAGAATGGAGGCTACCTCGATCGTCGCACGTTGTTTTTGAAAGAGTTGGGGGTTTATTTCGAGAAGTTGGCTAAAGGGGCTGCGATGAAGCTTAACACCACGAAGGGGAGCAAGCGTTGCGATTCAGATGAACAAGATACTGAAGAGAGTGAGGATAACTACACTCGTGGTAGCTCCGAGTACGCTGCCCTAGAGCGACTTTCTCGAATGGAGGTTGCCTATGTACCGATACACGGTTGCTATGGTTATGGGGCAGAGAAGCAAATTATCAAACTTCGATTTCGTCGCCGCAGCTCTTCTCTAGATTTTCGTCCCTCTTCAGTTACGTCGGCCTCAGCGCCGTCCTCCTCTTTCCCCTTCCCCAGGAATTGTCCTTACGAAGTTATTCACATCAACCTCCACCTTCGATGTGCCTTCGCATCAGGACGCGTCATGGGTGCGGTGGGGATTCGAAAGCATCCTTACTACAGTCACATTGTGCTTGAAGACTACATGATGCCTTACTATCTTAAAAAGCTCCATACGCTGTGCGTCAATTGTGGTGGGTTGCGCCGCGCGATCGTGCTGCTCAAGTGCTGGGCACACCACATGGGGCTTATGGCCTCTTCCTCAGGACACCCAGAGGGACTGAACGGGTTCATCCTCTCCGCGATGGTTCTTCATCTGCTCGACGAAGGAATCCTATCGCCGAATATGACGGAGGAGAACGTGACGCGGACGGTATTGGTACGCATCACTCACGGGTATTTCACTTCAACATCAACAGTGTCTGCCACAATACCGGTAAAGCCGTCTGCTGAGGAACGGGGTGAAGTCGCTGTGCTGCGCTTACAGGGTGATGTGATGAATCTGCTATTTCGTACTTCCTTAGATTTCTTCAAGACAGTAATTCAGCGAGCAGCAGAGGATGCACTCGGATATCGCAGCGTGTTAGACATTTTCACACAGCACCCATTTCAGTCGCTGCAGCTACTCCACGACGTCGCCCTGACAGTACGTGGTGTCTGGGGGGCTGACAACGACGTTTCGAAGGGCGAAGAAGCTAAAACCAATCCCAAGAATGCTGCAGGCAAAAAGGTAGATAGTAATAATCACGGGAGTAATGACAGGGATACTAATAATATCAATAAAAACCTCAGCGTCGGAATTAAAAAGGCATCTGTTTATTTTTCTCCGTGCACGATGGAGGCCAACGCAGTGCGAGATGTGTTGAGGAAGGCCCTGGGTAATCGAGTCCACTATGTTTTGGCGTGGATCACTGGCCCCAACGACTTGCAAGTTGCCGTTCAGCTCATTAATGAAAACGAAGGCAGGAATCACCTAACACGGGGCCCACCCATTGAGGACACTGAGGCTGTTGCCGACTTCAATGCCTTCTGGGGGATGGACATCACATCTACACGGCAGTTCCCGGACGGTGGCATTTACCGTTGTGTGTTGTGGCACTTTTCAGAGGAGAAAGGAATTGGCCTCTCAGTGAACCCAGCATCGACTCGACGTGCGATTACACCCCTCTCTGCATCAGTTGTCTTGCGACATGTGGTGCAATGTGCGCTGAGGAGACACATACAGCCGGACATAACGGTGTCCGTGCTCTTGGGTGGCTTCGAGGACTTTCTGGCAGAACGTATCGGCGCTGAGTGGCGGGATGCGCTACCACTTATGCAAGGGTCTCTTTACCAGGCTTCGCAGGACATCCACCACATGGTTGCCGAGCTTCCCAAGAGTGTGTTGCCATGCAAGGTGATCGACTTTAGTTTTGTTGCAGCAAGCGAGCGCGGTACGGAGGTGTTCCCGGTGCGACCTCATCTGTCACTCACATACACTAGCGACCACGAATACCAAACATCGACGGGAGATGAAGGTATCAGCACGACAGATAGCCACGGCGAGAAATACATAGGCATAAATACAGCCCCTTGCATTGATCCTATTTATGCGATCCTCAGTATCGACGATAGGGGCAAGATACCAGATACCCTGGAGGCTATTGAGATGATGCGGGGTGCCATTTGTGCACAACTTGCGAAATTCTTTAACCAGAACTTTCGTCATGGAATTTCTTCGCCGTCTGATAAAAGTGCTCTATCACCTGATTCTGCTTCTTTGCTTGCTAAAGACGGTGCAAGTTCCCATCACTGTCCCACTTCGCGTTCGTCTGTCTTAGCTTTTGCTACAAAGCAATATGTGGACATTATCCACAAGGGGTACTTATTCCGCATTTTTATTTCCCACTATCGTGAAGTCTCCCTATTGCGAGCCTTGCAGCGCGATGCCGAGGCTAGCGTACTCGAGCGTAAATTTTTTTGGACTCCCCAACATGCCAAATACCTGTCGAGCATTGTGTACGGTCACCAAAGCTATGCCAAGGCCACGCGCTTGGCCAAGCGCTGGCTGAGCGCGATGATGATGTACGAATTTGTCTTGCCCGAGGCGGTGGAGCTTCTGGTAGCATACGCGTACCTGTCCGAAAATGCTCACGCTGTACCGAAAACTGCCACCGCAGGGTTTCTGCGCTTTATTCAGCTTCTCGCTACGCACGACTGGTCGACACCACTAGTTCTGCCTTTTACTGATGAAGGCAAGGTGGCCGCTGCTGCCGCGGATCTGGTGCGGAAACTGAGTCCACAACAAGCCATGTACATTGCCACACCCTACGCACCTACGACGAGTCCGTTCACACTCAACACACCCCGTCCCATGATTATGTCTCGACTAGTCCAGCTAGCGAACAATGCCTTGTCGTTGATGATGGGATGGTTGCTATGTGGTGGTGGTGGCGGCAGCAGCATCCAGGATATTGAAGCCGGCGTGTTTCACAACAGCATCTTAGCCTTCGACTTCAGTGTTCGGCTTCACCCACAACTTATTCTGCATCCGGACCGTGCTCTGTGGCAACGTGGATGTGGGGCATCCCCCCAATCTGCGGCAGCCATCGAAGCAAAAGACCTAACGAAGCCTCCTGTGAATGATGATGGGTTCTCCGACGCGTCAAACACTACGGTTAGGCGTATTTGGATGTTAGACGAGCTAAAAGACAGGGAGCAGATGCGTAAGTATATATCGGCACTGGCGGAGCGCGATCCGGCAGCGCATGCCGTCCAGACTATGCGCGCGACACTTCGGGATCAAGCAATGGTGTTTTACGACGCACTGTCTCCCTCGTACGTATACATTATCGCCATCACAGAGAGACATGTCCTGAAGCATAGTCAGACGATGCATGACACGGTGGTTCACGTTTGCCGCGGGGCCGTGCTGCCGGTTCCACCCGCTGATGCGTTCAACCACGCACCTACCGCCAGAGGTCCTGCAGCTGCTCCGACATCTGGAGGACCATCCAAGGCTTCGAGCTTGGAGACGCGTAAGCGACCTAAGCGCATCCAGGCACGAAGAGAGCACCGCTTAGAAGAGGATGGAGCACAACAAGAAAAAAAAATGAAGCGCCAACGAAGCCCTTCGGATTGCCGCAATGTTCCTCAGGGAACTAGGCGAACAGAACTCACTCAGCGTCCCAATTCTCACTTACAGCGGCGCAACAAACCTGCTAAGTTAGGTGCACAAGACGAGGATGCGCATCCAATAGGTGAGCCCACCAACACTACCTTAACTTCACGAAAGCAGGCGAAGGGTGGAGCTCCATCCATCAAATCAGAGAAGGACCGAGCTCAAAGCGAAACTGACGTACATAAGCAAAAGATCAAGCAACACAAGATTTGCAACAAGATGGAGAAGGGGGGAGGAGAGAAGAAGACGACAGGTGGACGTCGTGAAGCTAAGTAAAGCAATGCAAACTTCGAAACGTTTTTTTTTGTGTATGTTTGTGAGAATGTCCATTTATAGTGGGCGAAGCTACACAAACATGATGTTCTTTTATGCGTGTAAGAAATAACAGAAACAATGAAGATTACCTCATTTTTGACTGTGTGTGTAGTTTCCTTGTTCGATTTTAAAATAATAATAAGCTAAAGGGAACTGGATTGGGGTGTGACTTCTCTCTATAGGAATTAAGAGAACTTAGTGATGAGCAAGGGAGGACCGGAATCACTTCCTGACATTCTTCTGAACATATTTACAAATATGGAGAGGGGTAATAACTAATAAATGCCTGAGTTAACTGAGAAATCTCAAATTTCGCAAATCAATAAAAGAATTCACATGAAAATATATAGTGCGTAGTTAAATAAAAAGCAGAAAACTGGTTTCATTCTCTTTTGTTTTTCTAGTAACCTTTCTATATATACGCATGTAGCATATCTTGCAGTTGAAGCAAAACTGTATTATTAAATTTGAACCGTCACAGAGAGTTTTGCTTCTCTTTATTCTTGTGTACACTTAAAGACGATGATAATGAGTTTTTATAGTTTTCGGAGTTGCTCATATATTGCTCGTATGTCGCCCCCAGCCATAACTTTTGCGTCAAGGCGATCACGCATAACTTCTCTGCGTCATGTTTGTGGTAATAAGAAGTTTTTTCCGGATGTACTCATGTTTTCCCCCCGCACGTTTCACCTGTCTGCGCAACTGCCACAAACGACTACTCTAGCTCCTCCTCATGTAAGCGGCTTGGCGCGCAAAGGTAGCGGCAAAACATCTGCGCGTGGAAAATCACTGCTTACCGAACTAGAACGTCCTACCATATTTGATAATGAAGGAAAGGGAGAAGAAAAATTAGTTTGCTCAGCAAATTTAGATGTTCAGAAAATTAGCGGTGCGGAAAACCTTCCGAAAACAATGAGAGTCCTACCGAATCGAAAGCTGCACCGAAATGCGGGAATAGGAAGAAAAGGCATGATAAGTTGTTTAAAACCTTCTCAACACATGAGGAAGTTAGAAGAACATCTCTCGTCATGCCGTAACTCAGAAACATTTTTTCATGCCCTTCCTACTTCACCTGCTGTTGAGAGGAAATCTAATGAAGCTAAGTATTCAAGTTTCAACGAGCTCGAAGACCAGCAAAGCGTGTTAAGAGAAACTTTTGATTATGCCTTTAAGAACCACCGTGTGCGTCTACGTAAGGATCCTGATGTTTACCGCCGTGAGTGTGCAGCCTACTGCCGTGACCATTCTCAAATGAAGCGTCGCCGGCCCACTGCTCAAGAAGTGCGTCCCTACACTGAAGTTACGCTAGCCTCAGTTGAAGCTCTTCGTGCGTTAGCGCACCTTAACCCGAAGACTAGTTCCATGCACACCGTCGTGCAGCAGGGCTTGCTCCTACAGCAGAGTGTGATGAATAATCAATTGATGCTTAGTAATCAGCGAGTCCTGGTGCGCTGTTTACGATGCTTTCATGTGTACCCGGCTCGACCGCGGACACTATGGGGCACGCAACCATCTAGTGATGATGGTGTGCACACTCAGCACAGTTGGTACTCCTATCAGTTGGAGTTGGAAAAGGCTCGGAAGACAAGGCAGCTCAGACGCTGCCCACGTCTCCGGAAGCAACTCTACAGCATAGGCCATCAACGCACCGACTTTGAGGACAATCCAACATGTTGCCCTTTCTGTGGGAGTCCGAAGGCGCAGTGGGCCATGGAATATGTTCACAATCGGACCCATGCCCGATCGGCTTGAGGGAATTTATAGGGCTGCACACGAGTAACCCTGGTACTACATAGTGTGCGAAAACGACAAAAAGGTAATATGTTTCTGTCGGCGGAAAATGGAATTAAAGAAGCTTTTAAGTAGCCAGACACATTATGTCACTTTTTTCAGTTTCTGCTCTTTTTATATATTGACCTTTTTTCTCTGTTTAGATGAAATCATATGAGTTTGCAAGGATTTATTTCTTGATCTTTAGCTATCGTTATGAAGAGTAAGCCTTCGAGGGTGTCTAAACATCATCATGACGTGCTTTTCTTTCTATCAAGCTGCCCGGACATCCATTTGTTCTTCCTGATTGTTCTATTGCGAGCACTCTTTTTGCTTTATATGATCTTCTGTCATCGAGTGTTTGCATGCCTGCTTCCTAGATGGTTATCCGGACACAACCAATGTATTTCATTAGAGTACGACAGTTGTGGCCATCTCTATGATGATCAACGCCTTAAAGAGGTCCGGCACTGGGATGGTGTGCATATGTATCATATTGCTTACTACGGCTACACTCATGAGACCCTCTTCGTTTTTTTTCCATTTATTCCATTTATGATTCGTTTCGTGCGCTGGTGTATTGTGCGGGCCTTCCCGTTGTTGTATCGCTTAGCGCCAGTCTCGTTTTATGTTTCTGGGCTCAACATCTTCGCATCTGCCGGAGCTGGTGTCGTCTTACGGCATCTGACCATCCTTACGATGCTCGGGCCCGAAACTGAAAGAACTATCCAGCTATGGCGAAGACATCGGCAAGGAAGACATGCAGGTATAGGACGAGGACACTTAGCGACAGTCTATGAGATGGATACTGAAAGACGTAGTGAAGACTTTAAGGAGGCTATACCAACATCCGCACTATGCACGGCAGGAACTGTCCCTACTCTCTCGTCGCACCATTGGGGATCAATAAGGGGTATTTTGCAGGATAATCAGTATGTGGTAAATCTAATCTATGGGGTAGATGATAATCATGCTTGCAAAGCTGCGGGAATCTTGTTGAACTTTCCACATGCGCATGCGGCTGCCGCGTTTCGTGTGATCCAGGGGTACCATGGGACTGTTCTAGACAAACTGTCTCCTTTTCTTCTCACGACTTCGATACATGACACCGCAGGGCTTACGGGATGTCAAACGAGCCATAATGTTCTGTCTATGTTCGACACAAAGGATACTAAGCAGGGCAGCCACACTTACTTGCCTTCGCTTACCTCGGAAGCGGCAAGGGAAGTAGTTTTTCGTTGGCGTGTTGTGGGTGGGGCTGTTCTAGTTTGGCTGCTGACACCCGCTGTAGTATTCACAGTCGCAAATTACACGGAGAGTTTTTTCTCACTCTTTACAATGTTGGGAATCTACTTGTTAGCTTGCTATCAGCCTTTCCCGAAGACGGAAGATACAAAATTTGAGGAAACAGAAGAGGTCATAATTTGTCGGTGCCCTTACCCAAGTCCTAGGTCCCCAGATCGCACCGCTGCCGATGGGAAAAGTGATTGTAAGGATGCGTGCTTGATTCACTGGAAGCCAAAAATCACATCATGGCATGAAGTGGTAGCGATTACGTGCTTCATCGTTTCGAGCTGCATACGGTCAAATGGTTTCCTGTGCGTTGGGTTTCTCCTGTATCCAACTGTACTGCAGCTTTTGTTCCCACAGAGCTATCGCGAACGCTGGGAAGTACTTCACGGACCCTGCTGGGCTTCCTATGTTCGTCACGTAGCAGAAAAGAAGTCATCGAAAATAGTGCCTCAATTGGAGAGTTACAAAGGGACTGTTCGTGCACATAGGGATAGCGCAAAACCAATTAATAAGGATGTATATGTTGTTCGTACGCTTTACACACCGACCCGCTTCCCCCATCCACTCCGCCTCGTTATTCTTCTTATTGCATGCGCCCTAATTTTTACGCCTTACTTGACAATGGGGTACTTGGGGTGGAAACGGTATATACCTTTGTGGTCTGAAGAGGAGAGACACATTGACAGTAACCATTTTTGGAAGTTCTACAATGTTCTACAAAGGAAATACTGGAATGTGGGTTTTTTAAGGGCGTATACGGTCACAAACTCTCCAAATGTCCTCATCGCGTTGCCGATTGGGTTTATTGTAGGCTACGCCTCCTACCATTACGCCATTCGACCGGCATTGTGCTGCAGTTTTTGTTCATCTTGTTCCTCTCTTTCAGGATCCATGCTGCAAAGAAAGCACCCGAGTATTAAAATGACACAATGCGTTTGGTTAGTTTTGCAATCTTTGGTTCAGTCCTCAAATGTGGTCTACCTCTGTGTTCTCTGCCTGATTGCCTTCACAATAATGCATGTACAAGTAGTAAATCGTTTTGTTATGTCTAGTCCAGCACTGTATTGGCTCATTGGGGCGCAGCTTGGGACAAAGCCTAACGCGAGACTTACATGGCTCATTCTGTTTTACATACTAGTGTGGGGGCTAACTGGTGGGCTTTTATTTTCCAACTTCATGCCCTGGACGTAGGGAACGGGTAAGATGGAAGGATTCATGAAAGTCCAAATAATGCTAAAGCCGTATAAGCAAACGACAAATTACATTCACTCTTTTACCTTTTGGAATTAACATGCGTAACAATATGCATGTATATTTACAATGGGATCTAAGTTTTATAAAAGCAAAAAGAAAATAAGTACAGTGCGAGGAAAGCATATTTTAATTGTATGCCTTTCGATATCGTGTGAGGAAAATAAGCACAATGGTGTGAAACTCAAAGCTGCCACAGACTACCATTCCTTTATATCTCGCTTCAAGGAGGCAATTCAAAACAATAATTCTTTGGACATTGCGCGTGGAGCATCATTATAATTTAATTCCTACTTTTTTTTTAGTGCTGTACTTTGCATCTCTGTTATGCTAACGATTATGGACTTATGCAAAAGACTGATGCGGTGGCGTGTACACGACGTTATACTCATTATCATACTTGCCCTTGTAGATCTGATTCCGAAAAATATGAAGCCCCA